AAACCCGAGCAACGCCCAATCCAACGAACAAAAAAAACAGAGCCAAAAGCCACCGAAGCAACCCCCAACAAGGCAGCCTCCAATCGGGCATGCGCCCGGCCCCAGGCCCACTCTTGTTTCCGCCCGCGCACCCTCTCTTTTTTCCGCCCACTCTTTTTTCGCCCGCGCCCACTCTTCTCCAGGGCCCGCCCAGACAGGCCGCGGCGCGAACTTGGCCCTCGCCCACTCTCTCTTATCTGCTCGTGTCTCCCAACCACTTGTCCGTGCCACACTCTTTGCACTCCCACCCGAGGCCCGTGAACACACCGGCACCCGTGCTCTCCCCCGGCCGCCCCGTGTTCCCCGCAGGCATAAAAAAAGCCCGAATCGAGCTCCGCAAGCGCCGCTCCACCGCCCCCCAAAACACCCTCCAACACCCCCCTCCCCCCCTTCAGCACCCGTCCAGCACCCCCTCCAAAAACCCCAAAAAAACCCCAAAAAAACCCCAAAAAAACCCCAAAAAAACCCCAAAAAAACCCCAAAAACCCCCATCTGCCAGCCCCGCCCGCACAGCACCATGGGCTACAACCAAGGCTTGGCCGTCGGGCTCGCGGTGGGCATCCCCTGCCTCATAGTGCTTCTCGGAGTGGTGTTCTTCGTGCGCCGCAACCGCCGGCTCCAGCGCAAGGAGGACCAGGCCGCCCACGCGCTCGACTTCGACATCGGCGACAACGGGCTCTTCAAGGAGTTTGGCGAGGCGCTCCACCGGCCGGCCCACCCGCCGCCGGCGCCGCGGCCCGGCTCCCCGCTGCACTCCGCCTCGTCGCAAACTCGGTCCCTGCTCGAGCACCGAAAACATTCTTCGCCCGGCAGCTCGGCGGCGGGCTCCGGGCACAGCGGGCCGAAGGCGCACGCGGCCGCGCCGCCGCCGGCGCTGCCCAGCAGGAACAGCAGCCTGGCGTACGCGTTCTACGACACGGTGATCCCCATCATGCCGCCGGCCACGCCGCCGCGGACCGCCTGAGCCTCGCCAGCAGCCGCGGCAGTCTCCTCGGCGACACGCTGAGCCGGTCCTTGGAGACCTTGGCGCGGCAGTTGCAGGGCCCGCTGTTGTTCGACAAGGCGCCGCTGCGGGCCAGCGCCCCGCTCGCCCCGGGCCGTGTGCCACGCGCTGCGCCGCACGCGCCGCCCAGGGGCTCGTCGACGCCGGAGCTCGTGGATCTGTATGGCGGCGTCAACGACCACTTTGTCGACGAGCGGGTGCACGCGGCGCTCGCCGGGCCGGAGGGGCCGCGTCTGCTGCACCCGTACCGCGAGCGTGTCATTGGAACCCGAGACACCGAGGTGGCTGCCAGCTTGGCCCTGGACGACGGCCGGGACGAGGGCTCCGGGGACGGGCCTATCTTGCGCGAGCAGGGCCGCGTGCTCCAGTAGCGGCCGCGGCCGCGGGGCTGTGGCTTACTGTTGCGCACGGGAGGCCTGAAGTTGCGGGCTCGGGAGGCCTGGAGCCGCGGGCTGAGCCCACGACTGGCGAGACGGGTTACGGGACCGGCGCCCAGCAAGACGGCGCTGCCAGCACAAGCGTGGGCAGAGCGACGCCGGCATGGGGCCCGGGCGCTGCCACAGTGCACCCACAAGACCGCGCGCCGCTGTTCTCGCCGGGCTGTGCCTAGTGGGCATGTCCGTGGGAGCTCCAAACCTCTGCAGAGCACCGTGCTTGTAGAGCCGACAACGCACCGTGCTGGTTTAGCTGGGACGACAAGTACTGTGCGTGGGCAGCTCGGCTCGACCCCGCCACGCAGGAGGGCCCAAGACCCGCCCCACCTCTATCGCAGACACTCGGCACATCCACTCGGCACATCCACTCGGCCCATCCACTCGCCCAGCTCCACGTCGTGCGCTTTCCTGGGGCTCGGCTTCTACGATCGAAACGCAGCGCTGCTCTCGAGAAAGCCGAGATCAAGCGCCCGGAAGGCTCATCTTGAATGCGCTCGGAAGGCTCATCTTGAATGCGCTCGGAAGGCTCATTTTGGAAGCACCCGGAAGGCTCATCTTGGAAGCGCCCGGAAGGCTCATCTTGAATGCGCTCGGAAGGCTCATCTTGAATGCGCTCGGAAGGCTCATTTTGGAAGCACCCGGAAGGCTCATCTTGGAAGCGCCCGGAAGGCTCATCTTAAAAGCGCCCACCACTCCGTCGTATGGGCTCGTCCCAGCCCTGGGCGTACTACCTACACATGCTAGAGAAATCATAAAAGCCTCGCAGACCAGCATTTCGCCGTCCCGGCCCTGTTCCAGCACAGTGGGACGCTGCTTATTTAAGGTGCTGCTGCACAATACACTATAGCATACACTGTTTGATCTGCGGCCTGGATCGACATTCCGAGCACACCGCGTGTTCTTCCCATGTACTGTAGGCCGTGCTCGCCCGTGGCGCTCGGCTCATGACTGTAGCGATCATGCATGTAGCCGACGGTCTTGTTATGTGAGGTTATGCTTTTAGCCGTTTTCATCAAAATGGCCTATATAATAATTACACTGACATCGCAGCATCACCTTACCTTCCGGGGGATGCCTAGTATAAAAGAGATGACATACTTGGGGAAGAGGGTATGTATTTACCAATTGTTACATCACATATAACAAATACCAATATTTTTGTTCATAAAAAAGTATGAAAGTAGATAAAATGTGAATAGATACCAAGGGAATCTTCTTTGGGTATTGAGGTTCTCCCTCAATAAGTTAAAGATGTAAGACTCAAATACCCACAAATCAACGTGCGCTCAATGAGTAGGTGGGCATCTCCGTAGCCAGACTCCTCTATGTAAATATCATCTCAAGGTGTTTCATTATGGTAGCCTTTCAGTGATCCTGATTTCAAAATGGTAAATTTAGCATAAAACACCTCGATTTCATTCCTCTACTAAGAAGAGACTAAACAATGCTCAGGACGGGCAGGAATGAGATAACGTCGTACATATGGATATCAGGTACAGAGAGAAAAAAGGAATGTATACATTAGAACGTTATAATATTCTAACATACATGAGTTAATGCAAAGGAAAAGCTGAAATACATCTAATAGCCTATGTTAAGAAGTAAACCAGGTCTGATGAGGCCTTGATCAAACCACATTGGATGGCATGTCACATGAAGTATCAGTTGTCTTATTGAAGAATTAAGATCTGGTGTATTTAAGTTTGCACCAACTAAACGTATTGAAACAGATGAGTGTTTAGCCCCATCGCCATCAAGGCATAAGTCTCTAGCTCGTGACGGTTGAAAACTGAGTTTATGCAGTATAGCTCCAACCATAGATTGGAGACTTATCTGATGCTGCAACAGTTGATAGCTTCAACCTTTGCGATGTTCAGCACCAGTTTCCCAAAATACCTAAGCTGCGTGATTTTGTTATATAAACACAATAACACCTGACCTCAAGCAAAGTCACACAAGAGCCTTTACGGCCCACATGCATAGCTAAAAATATCCCACTAGCTATTCTCGAAACTAAACATAGTCCCAGTAATGAGTGTGGTCAACTTATACAATCAGTATTAATTCTTAGTACGATCTTGTTGCTGTCACCCAAACTATACGTGATGGTTTCCCATGATATAGTTTTCCCTAAGAATATGGTATTTACCACCTTAATCAAACTAATATATATTCTCCAATCTGATATGAAACACATTTTAACATTGGTTCCTCCTTCACACGTCCTGAATACCGGCTTTGGCTAAACCAGAGTAGTCACTAATAGCATTTCCCTCCCACGAAAGGAGGGATATATTTATATATATTGTTGATGATCTATTAGTATCTCATAGCATTGAGAAAAAATCTTTTGACATTTCTCTCTCACACCAAATAACTATAAAGCCTAGCGTACCCCGAAATTACGCCCAAATGACTACGCAGGCCGGAGTGCCAAAGTAGACGAAGCGGCTCGGTGATACCCAACTGACGGTGGGCCGCCACAGATATTCTGCCAAGATCACACAGCTCTGGGATTATACGTCAGTGTGCTTTGGAAATAAACTGAAGACCCAAACTTGGGCGACTTTGCAACCAGGCCATCTTCAACAGACAAACAGCACCGCTTATCTTGATGTAGACAAGCACAACGCTTCATGGATCATTTTGTAGATGGTTCAAGCGAGCGAGAAATCAAACTGGTTCCCTCTCTACCCAAGAACCTAAGCACTAACTGATAATTGTGCTTTGTAACCTCAACACAGTTATATTCCTTGTTACAATAACTATCTATATTCGATAGAGTGGCGGGGAATGAATATTTACACAATTCTAACTCAATATCACTGTCTTTATCTAGACAAAAGTAGATATATAGTATTTAGTAATCAATAAATAAATTTGAGGAAGAAGGGGCAAGAATAAATCAAAGAATATGAATAGTGACAAATCAAGTCCCTTATCTCTTCTGAGGCTACGCACTGTCTAGCAGTCAAAGTTCCAAGACTGCGTCTTTGAAACCGAGCATCTTATGCACATGAGACAATCGACACATACTTGAATGTCGGAGATGGATAGTCGCAGCTCTTGCTATATTCCGGGACAATATGAACCAAGACTATGAGGGCAGCAGTATTCGGACTCAATCGCACTAAAGTACCAGCCGCAACCTCGAGTAACAAATCAGCCAGTAGGGTTACCACTGCACTATACTGAATGAGAAGTAAATCGGGCTGAAACTTATTTTCAGTCACAAACCTTTGAGAACTTCTTTACTGATATCAGAAAGAAGCCACATCATAATTAACATGAGCACTAATCGTACCCAGCTGCACCACACCCCAGCCCCAGATTCTGCAGAAAAAAATGTGTACATCAGACAGAGTCGGATTTAATGTCAAAAATTAATCGCTCGTAATTCTATTCATCATCCGCATCAGTAGAGGCCGGAGGTGACTCTTTCTAATATTCCGCCATCCTGCCTGATCGCCAGACGACATGGCGCGCGCTGCTCTCGTAGTATAAGTAGAACGCTAGTACATCACCCATACTTTACAGAACGGCTCCTTGAAATCCACCTGGACAGTTTCGGATACACAATGCTACGAGCTCTTTCCCAGAGGCTTGCTTTTCCAGCCACCCCAGTACGTACCTTGCGGCCAGTGTCCCGGCTCCCATATCTGGGAATCCCGAGGGCCTCGCCATGTGCTCACCATGCTTTTCACAGCAGCAGGAATTACGCCACATACAAGACTTTCAAAGGCTCGAGTGGTCCCCGCGTAGACTTCCGGGACTTGCTTTCAAATAGGTACACTTTGTATTTTGCCGCGGGCTGTGTGGCGTTCTACATCTATAACCTAGACGAGGCGCCATTCACGAAACGGTCCCGGTTTCTCTGGGTGCCCCTCTGGCTCGAAACGAAAATCGGCGACTACCTGTATTCGCAAATCATGCACCAGTACCAGCACCAGCTTTTGCCTGGGTCAGACCGGGCTTATTTGCAGGTATCACGTGTCATGAACAAGCTCTTGGCCAGTGCCGTTGCCAACACACGGGACCCGGCCCAGGCGGCCCACTTAAAGTCGTTGAACTGGACAATCAACATCATCAAGGTCACAGACGAAACGCGCGAGCCGCCCAACGCGTTCATCTTGCCCAACGGCAAGATTTTCATTTTCCTGTCGATCTTGCCGATCTGCCAAAACGAAGACGGCTTGGCTACCGTCTTGTCCCATGAACTCTCGCATCAATTGGCACACCACTCGCTGGAGCAATTGAGCAAGCAGCCGTTCTACGTCATGCTCTCGACCCTTTTGTATGCAGCCACGGGGATCACGGGTTTTAGCGACTTGCTTATAGCCGGATTTCTCCAGATGCCAGCATCACGGGAAATGGAGTCTGAGGCCGACCGCATAGGCTGTGAGTTGATGGCCAGGCTGTGTTTCGATGTTCATGAGGCGGTGAACTTCTGGGCCCGCATGGAGAACTACGAAAATAGGACCAGCCAGCGCCGTGGCGCTATGCTCAAGGAGTTTCTTTCCACCCACCCCAACACGCACAAACGCGTCCAAGACATTTCGCTGTGGATGCCCGAGTTTGACGTCATCCGCGAGGCGTCCGAATGCCACCAATGGGGGACATTCCAGGATGTTACCCGAAACTTCTTCAAACGGGCATGAGAATGCGATTTAGATATCGTGTCTGACATGTGGAAACCAAATGGAACGAAATCTTTTGTATCAACGGTATCGGCCAGTTAAACCGATGTCTTCAGCAATGAAGGGAAGAGCTGCTGGCAAACAATGCGAATTATTTGAGATATGAGTCTACATTTTCGCCCCAATCTCCATGCCAATGAAGTCGAAAGCTAGGGTCTCTTTTTGAAGACACAGCTGCTATATGACGCACCGTCTTCTTCCTCGTTTCTGATTGTCCTCATAGCACGATCATCTCATATACACTGATCTCTGGTATTTCGAAGGTTACGGAGGATACTAGTTTGACTTTCTTTAATTCTCTGAACAAATTCAAGGCCTTGCATGGGTGAAAATAAAAGACCTTTTAGCGCCCGAGATCACAAAAAAAAACGGACTGATCCTGGTTTCTCAATGCCGCATACAGAACTGGAGCCATCCGATCTATGCAAGAGACCACCACAGTCAAGTTGGTATAGAAATCACTCCAAGATGTAATACTGTCTACTCTATGCTCAATGTTTTTATTGCCGGCTATGAAATTGGTTGTTGAAATGGCGTATGTTATTGCCAACACACTTGATGATATCCAAAACTGGCGGTATGTTAGGCGCTTGGATAAATCCAAGCATTTTTCTCTTCAAAAAGGTATGAACAGCAACTACATCAAACAATTGAAACGGCTTTCGTGACCCTGGGATGCTGTAGAGATGAGGCGCAGCAGTGCCTTAAATTTTTCCCCGCCATATTTATATTAGCAGACATTATCAGGAGTTGGTAGCCTTGTATAGATGAATCCCGTCATGATTCAAAGGCCTGGGGTGACCGTGGAAATTATATAAAGAAGCTCTCGTCGGTTTCTGGAAGATGTTGGTGGATAAGCAACTGGCTTCCCATTTCATGGGACAGAGTACGTCTGATCAATTGTCTGGTCTATTGTCTGGTCTATTGTCTTGCGCTGTCGTAGTCATTTGCTTTAAGCCGCATTTATCGTACACTACTAATCATGATTCATCGAAGTATAAAAAATGCTCTATTGTCAACAGCATATAAATGCCCAACAACCCTCGAGTCTCTTATCGTGAATTAATTTCAGAACCATTCTAGTGAACATCAAACTCTATATTAAACCCTGCAGTATGAAACTCAGCATGCAGGTGGCAGTCACTGTGGCTTCATTCTTGATTGGCGGCGTGCTTGCCGTGGAAATACATAACGACACCTTTGAAGCGAACTTGGTCCCAAAAGTCTTAGATGATTTAATCATTGGAGAACAAAAATATTATACGATAGTCAACAACCCTTCTTTTTTAACGATGGCTACCTTTTCTTAGTCAACTCAAATAGTGAGGAATCTGTCACAAGGATAGACAGTTCTTTATTGAATTACGGAAAAATAGTGTTCGATTCCTCACTGAATGACGCCAAATCTTCTTACCTCATTAATGTTGTAAATGGCTTCGCTAACCGTGCTGAAATGTATTTCGGGACTTCAGGGTCCGATAAAAGACATGTGCCATTCGTCATTTTGTCTAGGTTTATGTGGGAGAACAGTGGCTTAATGGTATTTCGGTCAGATTCTACACGATCAGGTCTTATTATGAGACGTGAGGCCTATCCTGGCGAGGGAATCAATCCGACAATCACAAACAATGGATTGATATGTCTTTACAAGACTCTGTGGTATACCAAATCAGATATTATTGGATCAGGCGGTATCTTTGTGGGAGCTGACGCATTTTTAACCTTAGAATTCGAGTCAGGAGAACGAATATTTTCCATTTCGGAAAATCAAACTATCTTTTTGGAAGCTCATAGTTCACACTTAAGAGTTTACGGACTGGGCACTTCTCCTTCAACCATCAAAGTCCGGAGCTTCGGTATGGAAAATCTTATTGAATTTTATGTTGGTGATGCTGAAGCACAACACACATATTTCCCAGAAACGGGAAAACTAACTTTTAACGTCTCAGACCAGTCTCAAATTGAATTTGATATTGGTAAGGGGTACCAGCCGAAGTGGTTCCAAATTTCGAAAGCAGGAAATTTTATGAATATGAGATACACGGGCTCACCAGGTATGTATTCTCATAACATATCTGGATATCAATGTGATTCTAAGTTTCCTCAAGCGCCAGTATCAATTTTTGCTTCGTCTTCGTCCGCCATTGAATCTTAGCCTATGTACCTCCACTAGCTTCATTTATATCGACATTCATATTGGGCATGTTTTGTGTTTTTGCCCGTTGTTGTCTTCCTACTATATGTTGCATATGATTTTTTACCAACTTTTTTGTGAAGTTTCTCATTATGTGTAGAGCGTGCATAACGTATTCCACAATTCTGCTAGCAATCATCTCCTCTGGAAATGAACCATCAACTTGAAAGAGAGCGTGTCGAATCATCTATTCCCCTACCTGACACTATTTACGCAATCAATTCAGAATTTATAAGCAGACAAGACTGCCAAAAGAGCTATTTGCTTGAAAGTTCAGCTCTTAGTGGGCGATAGAGCAAGATACAAAAACAAACGAGTTTGGTGATCAAGAGATTTAGAAAAAAAAAATACAAAACACTCAATTGCTAGTTTTGATAACTCTCGGCCCGCAAGCCATGGCTGAGTCTGTTTCCATCATGGAAATTGGCATCGACACAGAAAATGCTTCCATCACGCTTTGAGCGCCATATATTCTATATTCCAGCGGTTAAATCGGTGATCGCTCATGTGTTGAAGTCTGAGAGACCAGGTATTTCATATAGAACAATTTCACGCCTGTAAATTCATTAGTACCATATCCCTGGAATGAAAAGTTCCAAAAGAAAATTTTGGTTGAGGCCCGCGTTTCACTTTATTCACGATGAGATCCACCAAAGATGCTGTTAGATTTTACGATTTTGTCTCCCAATGCAGCGCCACGCCCTCAGCGCATCAGTATACCCGCTCTGATTTGGAAAACATCATGTACGGCCAGGCCTGGATGGCTAGTCTATACTCCTTGAAGGTTTCGGATTCCGAGTCCTCACCTTTCATTTCTAGCATGGAGACTTGTAAAGTGCCAAGACGCCTGCGCAGCTTCACGTTTCTAGAAGTGAAGCACGGCACAGAGAAGCTGACAAAGACCGGAAAAAAGCCCTCGTGTTCGCTCTCCGCCTTCAGCGTGACAAACGTCTCGGGGTCCTCATCCACGTGCACTACGATCTGTTTGTTTTCATCCAAAAGTTGCTGGGTGATTTTGGACGGCTTGCCTTCTCGGTCCATTTCCATAGCATACTCGACCAATTTACTGCGAACGACCGGAATGATCTGGCTGCGGAAACTGTCGTATTCGTTTTCAATGCCCGCCAATACGTTGGCCTCGTCCGCGGCGTTATAGTTCTGGATCTTCACGGTTTTGTCTTCCAATGCACTTCCCTTTTCCGGCTTCACTAGCGCAAGCAGGCTCTTGTACTGCGCATGCTCATGCCGCCTATATAGGAAATAGGCCGCAGCTAGGGCTGGCGGCCCGACCGTGATGCACGTGTTTGGGTGTATGTGTGTGATTCCCACGGCCGTGGCTACAAGCGCAGATGCATATTTGGCGGTAAGAGGCACGTTTTGGGCCCAGAATACCGACATTGGGGTTTTGAGTGCGGCGTAGCTTTTGACCAGAGGCCCGGAGAAATTTCGACGGCACGTAGCAAGCGCCGCAGACCGCGCTATTGCAGACCGCAGTACAAGCACGCTTTTCTGGCCAAACATGGTCCGGTTCGGCGGGTTGCTATGAAGTCTCTTGAGGTTTATGGCGTTTCCCCAGGCCCCAAAATCAAACCAGAGATCCGAAGTGTCTCGGCTGGCGGCCGGACCGACATGCGATGCGGCACTGTGTGCAGGCCATGGCCGGAGCGTGCATCGAAAGACGGTTTTTGGGACTGTTGCCAGGCTCTCTTTCCTTCGAGGTTTGCAACCGCCCACAAAGTACGCATAAATACCCGGCACGTGCACCAGGATGGGCAAGGCTGATTTCGGCTCGGCCAAGTACCAGGCCAAGCAGCTCAAAGCCCTGGGGCTCCAGAAATTGCGCTACTACTGCCAGCTCTGTCTGAAGCAATGCCGCGATGCCAACGGGTTCAAAAACCATCTCGCGTCGCCGTCCCACACGGGCCGTATTTCCAACTTGAGCACTGCGGGCAGGGCCCAGGACGTCATTGCACAGTACCTGCTGCAATTCGAAGCGGAGTTCTTGCGGCTTTTGCGCGTGAACCACGGCACCAAGAAGATCAGTGCCAACAAGTTCTACCAGGAGTACATCTTGCACGACAAGGACCACGTGCATATGAACGCCACACGCTGGAGCTCGTTGACTGCATTCATCAAGCATTTGGGGCAGTCTTCCAAAGTGCGTGTGGAAATCCCGGAGGACGCAGACGACGAATTCAACCTATTCATCCGACTTGTTGACCTGCCTTTGGAAACACTGGACGGCCATAGGGCCCGAGCTTTGCAGACTGAGGAGGAACGGCTGATGAAGTTTTTAGACGCGCAGATTGAAAAGGGCAAGCAGTTGCAAAGCGAGGCGGCGCCGTCGCCTGAGCCTGCTCCGGTTGTGCCTGTGGCGACTGGTCCGGTGGCCATATCTCTCCGGGGCGTGCGCATGAAGAAACCCCCAAAAAAACTGGCGTTTGGATCTCAGAGCGATGATGACGATGAGTAGATATCCGGCGAACGAACTGACAAAGGGATAAGGATCGGTTTATTCGAAGCCACCGACAATGGCGAAAGAAGAAAGCAGTATGGAAGATTCAAGAATCATGAGAGAATCTCAAACAAAGATTTTCTTAAGTCATCAAGTATCTTGGGGCAGACATGAAACTTTCCAGAGTCTCCATTGAATAATGATCTGTGGGGCATGTTTCACCTTGCGTCAGCGAGGCCATTCCGAACTCACAGAGAAGGCAATTGCTCGTTGCTCAAAGTCCAATATCCCGTTTCACACCGTGGTTTAAAGTACATGTCGCCACGCTTGTTTTGGATTTTCCGCTTATTTGTGCCTGGCTGTGAGAGGTCTACGTGACCCAGGACTGGGGGTGGACATGCGATGAAAAATCTACTTTGGTACTATGACGAGCCTCAGTAACCGGCTTGGCATTAGCTGGCAAAGCCTTGTTTCTTGTTTTGGATGAACGAACATCCAGTGTTCATAGGCTCCCACGGACTCGCGCACTATAGATAAAGTCGAGTTTCTAGAGCATACATCTTCAACTCACGTGCAGATTAGATAAATCCAGATTTATATTTGGTAGAGACTATGAACTCACAATTCGGGTACCTAATGAAAATACAAATGATTGTGAATAAAAAATTGAATGATCAGGGGAACACTTGAGCTTAGAAAGCCTCAAAGACATGTAGCAATTGACATTTAGAGCTAAGACGTTCAATGAACATGTTCAACAGGCAAATACAGAGTCAACGTGTCTATTTCCGTTCGTAGCACAACACATATACGTCTCTCGAGTGCAACTTGTTGTAGTCGTTGGAATGAACGTTGCCATGCTGGACATTAAAGCGTACATGGTCATCGTCAAAATAACACCAGATCGGGTCCAGGAGCGGATCTCTATATGCGCCGTCAACGGGGGCCTTGTTGACTAGCGACGTATAGTGCCCACTCTTCAAAGACCCATAGTGGTTGATGAGCCCAGTTAAGCTATAGTAGATATCGTGGCCCAGATGGTTGAACTTCAAACGCAATGGATACACGATGGTTGTGTTGAGTTTATCGGTGACATTGGCCATGGAGAACCGCGAGAGGTGGATGAACATCACGGGGGGCAACTTGATGAAGCTGAGCTGCTTTATTGAGATCGACGTGGATTTGTTAGCATACACTTGAGTACTCTGGCCTCTTTTGGCCGGGGACTTGCTTCGCTTCAAGCGGAAGAGTCCCCGCTTGGGCTGGAACACAACGTCAATAGGGTTGTCGTTGCCGCTAGACTTGTTGCATTTAGGACAGTTCCATGCATTCTCACCAGCGAGAACCTCATCTTGAGTGAAATACCGCAAGCAGTCTGTCAAGTCTACCGTCTGGTTGTTCCCAGCCGGGATCGGGAGAGAGAGGATCGTGAAAGGGCTGTAACTGACAGAGCGATGGCCGCACTTGTTGCACACCAACTTACTTTGCACATGACCCTGGAACGTGTCGTTTATCGGCGACTCGCCCTCGTGGTCAACAAGGTCTTTGTACCACTTCAAGTAGTCGTCAGTGTCCCTTGGGTTGACGGTGATATTCCATTTGCTTAGATAGTCCACTGGGTCTCCTTGCGGCTTTATTGCCATCTCCTCGTGAAGCTTGTCAAGGAGGAAAAGAAGAAACTCCTGCGCGTCCTGCTGCTCGAAAGGCACGTTGAAATCGGGCTTGAGTGAGGAAAGCACCCGCAAGAACTTGGTGGGTGCGATATTGGCGCCTCCGTTCGCATTGAAAGTCGTGAGGAGCCCTGCCGTGGCGTCTGTGAGCGGTTGTGGGTTTGGTTTTTTCTTTCGCTGGAGAAGCAGTGTCTCGAATTTCTCAAGGCCAGCCAAGACTTGCACCGTCAGGTTGATGTAGCAAGAAGACCCCAAGTTCTTCAACCCGCAGATGGCAAATACCTTGCGTGTGTTTGCCTTTTGTTTTTCATGGTGGTGCTGAGAGCCGCTTCGATTATAAGGTCTGTGCTGGAGGCTTTGCTGGGAGTGGTGCTGAGGGAGCGGCTGAAAGTTCTGAGGGTTCTGAGGAATATGTTGGTGCTGTAGGTTCTGCTGCTGTCTTGGCGGCGTGTTGTGTGAGGCACGCAGATAAGAGCCGTTGAACGTGGGCGTGTACTCTAAGGCCTGGCCAGGATGATGGTTGATAGCGTTTCTTTGGCCTTTGTGTGGATCTAGCGGATACAGCGTGCCCAACTGGCCCGGGATCGCATACAGCGTGTCCAACAGGCCGGGGGTCGCATACAGCGGTTGGGCTTGCGAGAGGCGGAGCTCGGAGCCGTGCTTTGGGATCCCGCTTCTTGCAGCCGTGTTTAGGGCCAAACCGGGCGATGAGCCGTGGGTTGTGGGGAATGCAGAGTTGGATGGGGGCACATGGTCCCAGCCGTACGGCAGGTGGGATGTCACTGGAAGCGCATGTGCCGCGACAGGGGCTGGCAGGAGCAGCAGCACCCGGGCCTTGGCTAAGGAGATTGCATCCGTTTTCAGAGGCTGGTTCCCGGAGCCTATCGGGTATGGAAGTACGGCGTCGTCGCGAGCAGGATCCGACACGGGGTATGGTGCTTTCGCCGGGTCGAGGCTGGGCGGCAGCTGCAGCGGGAGGTCCGGGAAGCGCGAGTTGAAGTCGGAAAGAACGTCGTCGTTTCCCGCCTGGCGGGGCATGGCGTGGCCGCTTCGGGGGCTTTGTGGGCCGCGGGCCAACAGCAGGCCCGAAGCGTTTGTGCTCGGCGCGGCGGGGTCCGCGTGGGCGGCCTCCTTGTTCTTTAAGTACTCGATGTACAGGTCGAGCCAGGCGTAGAGCAAGTCCACGTCGAACGTGAGCAAGTTCTTGGACACCAAGTACTCGATGGTCCAGGCACGCACGGTCGGCGGCGGCACGTGGAACGCATGGGGCCCCACGATGTCGTCGCAGCGGTAGAAGTTGTAGAGGTTGAGGTAGATGATGAAGTCCTGGTGGGCCGACTCCATGAAGCGCGCGAAGCCGTTGAAGTGGAGCATAATGAACGTGTTGACGAAGTAGTTGAAGATGAGGAACGAGCGCACGTAGAGCCGGAACAGCTCGTCGATGTCCGAGTCCTTGGCCGCGGCCAGCTTCTCGAAAAGCGCCGCGCAGTGGTCGATCAAGTCAAACACGGACATCGTGGCCATCTGCCTGTCGAGCTGGAGCGCCCGGAACTCGTGGTTGATGAGGTACATGCACTTGGCGCGGGCGGCCTCGAGCCTGCCGTTTGCTGCCGGCGAGTACGGGCTTGTGGCATGTTTGGCGGGCTGCACCGGGCTCCCTGGATTTGCGTCCGAGAAAACAGGCGCAAGATCCGCAACCGGCGGTTTCCGCAGGAGAAATGGCGGGGTTTCTTCGGCCAGCGCCATGGGCGTGTGTCTGTATCAGGTGCCTTCCCGCGGTGGGGCCCTGCTGGCGGTGTGGCGTGGATTTCAGGGGGATTTTCTGGATCGGCCCGGCTGTTTGGGGCCGCCTCGGCTGGCCTGCGACTGGCTGGCCTGGGGCGTTTGGGAGCACGCAAAAAAACGACACGGACTGCCGGGAAAAAGGACACGTGCGGGGTCTTGGTGTCGCTCGAGGGCCCGCTGTGCTTGCTGTGGCGGGTGCTTGGTGGGACGGGCTAAAAGCAGACAAGGAAGAACAAAGAAACAAATGTTGTATGCCGTGTACTTGCCGGGTGGCCTTGCACTTTTCTGGCCCGGTGATTTCGCACCCAGGCCGCTATGCCAGGCGCGGCCCTGTTTTGCAGACGCCACGGGGCCTGTGTGGCGGAAAACCGGGCTGTACCGTCAGGCCCGCGGCGCCACCTCTGGGGCCGCCTGCACTGGGGCCTGGGGGCGGGGAAAGCCGGTGGGGCCTGGAGGCTCCCGTGGTTTTTTGGTGGCTTTGGGGGCTTTGGGCGGTTGGGGCGATTTAGGGCTTTGGGGCTGCCGAACAGCTTTGAGGGCGTTTGTTGGGTTGTGTTGAATTTGGTGGACTTTTGGGGAGTTTTGTGGAGTATTGTGGAATGGTGTGGGATAATAAACACTGCGGAATATTAGACACGGTTATATTAGGTGGACGCCAGTGCACGGAGCCTTGGTGCCCTGGATCGCCTGTGCCACGGAAAACGCTTCTTCCGGGCCTTTCGGGCGGTGTGCAAAGCAGTTCCAGTTTCTTCAAAAAAATTTTAGTCTGTGGGTGTCATGGGTGGTATGGTATTCTTGGACGTTAATAACTGGGTGCTCGCGGCACGAAGCCCGCGTCGGGTTGACCAGACACGGCGTGGACGACATTGGCGCAAGAATATAAAAAAGGCTGGGTTGGCAGATCGGGGCATTTCTGCTGTAGGAGGCTTGTCGGTGGCGCTGGTTCCCGTGTGCACGAGCCATGGCGGAAATCTCTTTGGCTGCAAAATATGGGGAACACCTGATACCTGGAACCCAGTTGTTCTAGTCCTCTGACTAACGGTCCCTTAGCTACGGCTTGGGCAGCCCTGCTTTGCGGCGTGCCTGTAGAGTTCCGACAAACCAAAAGGCAGATTCTTCACTTTTCACCAGGGCACCTACTTGCTCTCAGCATAAGCTCGAGCCTGCTCCCCCAAGAAGCTAGTGGGTACATTGTTGCCCATCTTCAGGCAAAGAAACCTCCACAGCCGAGCCCCCACCAGCCATGAAGAGAAATTTGTTTGAAGTGGAAGCCGCAAATCAAATTCGCCAACGGAATTGATCTCAACCCCTTTATGAGAAAGGAAAACATGCGGAATGGCGGAGGTGGTGACGATTTCCCACAAGCAGAATGTCTGCCGTGTCTTGGCCATTTGCTGGGTGAAAATATGACTGATTTCTCGCCATCAATCGAGACCATTCATATCCGCTGGGGCCTCACTTCTTTGGAAAGAATTAAACCATATGGGCCTTCACTATGTCAGACGGCCTTCACTTCACCAAGCAGCCTTCACTTTACCAAACAGCCTTCACTTTACCAAACAGCCTTCACTTTACCAAACGGCCTTTACTATATCAAACGGCCTTCACTATATCAAACGGCCTTCACTTTACCAAACAGCCTTCACTTTACCAAACGGCCTTTTGATCAGACAAGCCTAGTAAGAAAGGATCATGCTCGAGTTCAGGCTATAGAGATCTGTCCCGCCACAGTCCATATTTCTGGAAGGCACCGGAGAACAGTGGAAGGAATCACGGCGGTTGAGGTTGCTGTCGTGCTGTCTGATCAGCACACACTTGGAATCTCCAGGCGTCTTCAAGGATGATGATACTGCTGGAAAGAGCCAGCAGGAGGCCTTCTCGCAGCCCAATCAGGATAATGGCTTCCGGGGTCCCTTCGTACTTGGAATGAAGTTCCAAGCAGTGGTTCCTGCCCAAGCCTCATAGAAAACGAGCTTGAGCACATCACGAAGGGCACCCATTCCCGGCCGTCGACATAATCCAGACCATAGGGGCTGGTGTTTACAGTGCCGCTGATTTTCAGTTCAACTGAGCAATGCAAGCAATGTTCTGTCTCAATTTCAATCCGGCCATGGGCTTACATTGGCTTGAGCTTGTCGCTGCTGCTGGAGCTCAGCCCCGTCCCCATGGATATGGATAGGGGTCGTTGATGGTGCAACCGCGTGTGCCTTTTGCAGCCAGTTCAAAAGGTTACTACAATTCCCTTGGGTATGAGTTCATTGTAACGAAGCTGTATATGACTAGACGTGATGTGGGGGAGAGCGCCAGAAGCCGGCGAACGTGTTTGGCCCGCAGGCGACGAAACCAGGATGGCCAGCCAGGAGAAGAGCCAGGATGTCCAGCCAGGAGTAGAGCCAGGATGTCCAGCCAGGACTAGAGCCAGGATATGGCCAGCCAGAAGCTCTCCAAACAAGCCTGCGGCCAACGCACCCGGGGCGCAGGCACAGGGCCTTGGGACGCCGCGCGAGGAGTCGCCCGGAGCCCAGTCACGACGGGTTGAACGGGAACCACACGTTCGAGTCATCGGACACCTCCAGCGGCTCCTGCGGCTTGTCTCTCATCGAGTACATGCCCCAGTTGCTCAAGAAGTCCGCGTCCTCCTCGTCGAGCAAGTCCTCCGGCGGCGCCGTGGTGTTGCTGGTGAAGTAATGCAAGGGGTGATGCTGCGACACCGGCTGCGACTGGGGCACCGGCTGCGGCGCCAGGGCCCCCGGCTGCGGCGCCGGCTGGGCTTTGGGGCCCCGGCCTTCGTGCGGCTCGGCGAGCGCCGCGTACGGCTGCTGCTTGGGGGCCGCCTGGGGTAACGGCGCCAGCGCCACCAGCCCGTAGAACACCGTGTCCGGGCCCTGCTCGGGCACATGGCGCCGCTTGCTGGCCGGCGCCCCGAGGCCGTCGGCGGCGCGCTTGTAGAACGAGGCCTGCTCCGTGGCCGCGGCCATGTGCACGGCCTGCGCCAACGGCGTCAAGGAGCACGAGCGCGAGGCCGGCGAGCCGGGCTTCATCTCGGCCTGGTTGAGCAAGCGGAGAAGATCCAGCTCCTTGGCCGCGGCGTCGGGCGGCGCGGCGGGCTCCTCGCGGAGCGTGGTGAACAGCCCGTTGTGGTAGTGGTGGTGGTGGTGGTGCGTGCTGCCCTTGGAGCTGGCGTCCGGCGAGCTGGCGGACGACTGGAGCTTGGGCACGGGCGTGAGCGGCGGGAGGTAGTTGAAGTGCTGGAAGCGCGCCAACTGCGCCTCGGGCTCCACCGAGTAGAGGCGGGCGGCCGGGCTGGGCGCCAAGTCCAACGGCGTGTTGCCGAAGTAGGGCAGCTGCGCGGCCACCTCCAGGTGGAGATGCGCGAAGCCGGGCAAGTCGTGCTGGGCGCCGTTGATGTCCGCGCCGCCCGCCGTGTCCGCGCCCGCCCGGGGCCCGTAGTGGTGGTGGTGGTGCACGTTCACCTGCAAGTTGAACTGGCTGGCGCACTGCACGAGATAGTGGGCGAGCTGCTCCGAGTGGATGTGGCCGCCAAAGTCGAGGAGCGCCCGCACAGGGTCGTTTTCCGGCACGGCCGTGCCCGCCAAGCTGTACTTCCACTCGGCCGCCGCGGGCGGCGGGCCGGGAGGGGCCTGCGGCGTGGCGCTGGCGGACCCACGGTCTGGCCACGCGGGTTTGCGCGGCTGCGGGCTCACCACTAGCGCCTCGAGCAGCGGGAGACCGGGCCCAGGCCCGTGGGAAGCCCCGAGGGAAGGCCCGAGGGAAGGCCCTAGGGTAGCCCCGTGGTTATGGGAAGCCGCGTCGGCAGGCCCGCCGTGGGCCGGGGATTCCGCCCGGACGGCGTCCTCGAGCCCCGGCTCCGTCTTGGGCCCGCGCGCCGCCGGCAACGTGCCCCGCGCAAGGCTGTCGAGGTTGCCGTCAAAGTTGCCCATCATCTTGCGCACCACGTTGGCACTGGCTCGCCCGCGCACCACGGCCGTGACCACGTTGCGCCAGCGGTTGCGGCACGTGAGCGAGGGCCGGCCCTCGAACTCGTTGGCGATGGTCTTCCACTTGGTGCCGTGGCGCGTGACCAAGTCGATGAGCATCAAGTCCTCGGCCTCGGTCCAGAGCTTGAGCCGGTTGCTGACGCTGGGGTCCAACACCTCGTAGTAGCGCTTCAGGCACTGGTGCTCCGTGCGGCCCGCGATGTCCTGCGCCACCTGCTGCCACAGCGCGCCGTACTTCTCGAACTGCAGCACGAGGAGCGCGTCCTCCTCCGGGGTCCATTTGCCCCGCCGGAGATTGGGATCGAGCGACAGCGCCCAGCGCTTGCGGCAGTCCTTGGCCTTGCGCTCGCCGCCAAACGCCTGCGACACGAGCTCCCAGTTGATGGCGCCGGCCTTCAACGAGTTGCTTTTGTACTCGTCGGGGTACAAGTCCGCGAGCCGCCGCAAAAGATGGTCGTCGTCGTCCTTCATCCACGTCTTGCGCTGCTCCTTGCGGAACGTCTGGAGCCCGAGCGACTCGGTGAACGCCAAGGTGTCCACGGAATAAATGGACTTTTTGGGCTTGTCCTTGCAGCTCATGGCGAAATAACACGTCCGCTGGGGTGGGTGTTGGGAGCTCTGGAGAAACCGTGGGACTGGCTGGAGCGATGATACGACGCCGATGCCGCGCACGTGACCGCGCGTCACGTGGCGCCGCGGGCATGCGCCAGTCGTGTTGGCGTTTCGGGTTGGGGGCCGGTCGTCTGCCAATTGCACCTTTTCAGTATTGCGCCTTTTCAGTATTGCACCTTTTCAGTATCGCGCCTTTTCAGTATCGCGCCTTTTCAATATGGCACCTTTTCAGTATCGCGCCTTTTCAGTATCGCGCCTTTTCAGTATCGCGCCTTTTCAATATGGCACCTTTTCAGTATTGCACCTTTTCAGTATTGCACCTTTTCAGTATCGCGCCTTTTCGGGAATCCAGCTTTTCGCGTGTCGGGACGTGGTGGCGGGCTTTTCCGCCGTGCCATGGGCCCCGGGCTTTTCGCGGGCCCCAGATCGCCTGGACGGGACGCGGCCTCTCCGACTCCAATTTATATTTCCTTTAAAAAATATATTTCGTGGTTTTCGGAAGTATAACCTGAAAACAGCTACCGCCCATGGATCCCATCCGCACGTGTCCCTTGTCTCGGCCGCAGCGACTCACTCGTCACTCACTTTCTGTTAGTAAGACTAGCTGGAGCGGGGCTTGGATGTCCCGGCTCGGGCGCCTCAAATCGCATAGTTCGCTGGCTTCATCTTGTTTCGTCAATGGCTCGTCATTCTCCGGCTAGCTCTCCTGGTTGTGACATGCCCAATCGGCCCGTTCCACCCGCCCCATCTCGTTGCGGCCTCACCTTTTCCACATCACTTGCTCTGTCTGATTTTCTTGTTCTCGATCAAACGGAGCAAGTTTCTCAAGAGCATCGCAATCGTCACTTTCCCAATCGATGGCACGTACAACCCCGCCCTCTCTTTGATGTCATCGTTGAAGTTCTTGTTGCTGGAAAAGTTAATCACCACCGTTCCGTTGGAAATGCTCGTCGTCGGGAACTTGAACCCCTCCGAGGGCACCCCGGTGATCACCACGTCACACTGAGACGCGATCTTCTCGGGCGAGTATTCCGCGTAGTCCAACTCCTCCACCTTGTGTCTGTGCATCAGCAAGTCATCGCCTCTGGTGAACTTCTGCATGTTGTTGATGTCTGCGGAGTAGACGGTGGCCCCGTCGTTTGCAAGCAACGCAGCAAGAGGCCGCCCTACGATTTCTGATCTGTTGACCACCAAGATGTTCTTTCCGTAGAGTCGGTTGCCGTAGTGCAAGTGCTTGTTGTACACACCCAAGTACTCCAAGATCTTGACCATGGCCAAAGGCGTGCAGGGCAAAATCGACTTTTGCTCGTTGGTCGGAGCATCGAGGAATCTCACGTTATGGTACAAGTTGTGGTAGTACAAGAAGTTCAAGCCCTCGACGTCCTTCTCGGGAGAAATGGCTTGTTGGAGGTACTGGTCCTGCTTGTCTCCAAACACAGGGAAATACACCATGATTCCGTTCACGTCATCGTTCTGATTGGCATCAACGATGGCTGTCTCCAAGTCGTTTTTGTTGACTTTCACCAACTCATACGTGAACCCCAAAGACTCACAGGTCTTTCCAGTCCAGCTAGCATACATCTGAGCCGCAGGGTCATCGTTGGCCAAAAAACCAACCAACTTCGGTTTGAAGCCCAAAGCCTTCACTTTACTCGTGACTTCCTCGGTGTACTGCTTCGCGATGGTCGAGGCCAAGATGGTTCTTCCTGCTGGTTGAGACATGTTGCGTAGGTATTCGATGTTTTGGGTATTCTTGCGACTGACGGGTGACGATAATCTGTTGAGAGATCAGTCTGGGCTATATGAGTTCCAAAGGAAAATGTTGAAGTGTCCGAAAATGGTGGTAACTGGCTATTTCAAACTTTTCGGCGGATGCGGCGAGGAGATGTCTTATATGCGCGTGCTGAGAACAAGCTAATTAATTGATTCTCTATCGCACAGTGCGTGCGGTGTGCATAAAGGCGGTGCGCAGTCAAAAAAACGGCAGTCAGCGAAATCCGTGGACAGCATGGGCTTGCTGGGAAGTATACTTGACGATTCCCCCACTTCTCTTTCTTTGCTCTCTCTCCAGCGTCGTTTTTACACGGCGGCTGCAGAATCTTTGTAGTTCCCGTACGAGTAGAGCCTTCACCGTAACCGTGCGCCGGCGCTCTTGTAGAGGCTTTGCCATATGAACGCCTCGCTGAGCATCAATTCGATATCCTGCTCCGTCCACAGACTTGTCGGCGGATTTTGGAGGAAAAGCAATATGTCCTGGAAGTCCTTCTCCTTGAGCTCGCTGCTGAACTTGATGAGGAACGCGGCACACACGTAGATGTGGAAACCACTGAACCCCAAAGGCGCCTCGCTCAAGTACGTGTCCCACATCCGGATCACAAGATCGATCGAGAGCTCACGCATGAGCAAACAGTTCATCCAGCGGAAAGAGAACTGGATGAACTCGACGCCCTCCTGGTCGAAGTGTTGTACGAGCGGCAAGTCGATCTTCGAGATCAAGCTCTGTAGGTCGCTGACCTGCTTGATGATGCCGGGCTGCTCGTGTATGTAGTTGTCAGTGATGTTGTCTAGCAATCTTGAGATGCACCAGTAGCTGTCGGCCTCTATGATGTGGGACACTCTCGCTGAGAGCCTCGCCGGGTCAAACGTGACCCACGTCAACAGCGGCAAGTGGGGGTCGCTGAGTAGCTCCTGCTCCTGAACGTCCGAGCCTGTGTCGTCGAGGAGCCCCGGGATGAATAGCGGCGTCTGGTCGTCTGCGCCCGCGTGCTCATGGGCATGTTTCCTTTGGAGCTGCCAGAGGTAGTTGCCGAGGAAGATCTGGTAGAACGGCGTGCAGATGTCGTTGATGCCTTGCACGTAGCCGCTGGCGGGGTGCCTGATGGCCCACAAGAACAAGATCCGCTTGAGCGAGGTCTGTGTGGCCGCGTGCGAGTACAACGCCAACGTCTGGTTGGTGCGCTTGACGTCGATGTCGATCTGGTGGAAGAGCTGCTTCTCCTTGTTGACCGAGTTGTCTCTGTTGCTGGAGTCGGGCACCTGGGGCAGGCCCGTCCGGGCGTCGAACTGCAGGCGGTACTTGCTTATGCCCTCCACATACTCCTGGCGCTTCCGCTGGAGAATCGCCAGCTGCCGGGTCTTGTTGGTGGGCAAGTAGCCCAAGAGCAACTGCCACGTGAGCGCACGGAGAGGCGCCGGGACCCCGTTCCACGAGAGCCTCCGTAGCTCCTGGATGTTGACTGCCTGCGGGTCCTCGCAGAGCACGCGCGTGAACTTGGCGAGCCTCGCCTGGACGCGGCTGGCCGCCGGCGACGCCACCGGCGACGCCACCGGCTCGCTGCCTGCCCCGGCAAGGGAGTCTGCGGAGTCCCGCTGGGGGGAGGCTCCGGTGGGTTGGGGCGCCAGAAACATCAAGTCGGGGTGGAGCAGGTCGACCAAGCCCACCGCGGAGCCGAGGCGCGGGCGCGGCGCGCGGCCTGCGCGGCCGTCGGCGGCGCTCATGTCGCTGAACCCGGCGTCCCAGTCGTCGTCTAGATCCGCGTATTTGGGCCGCCGCAGCGCCGGCCGGGAGGACTCCATGGACGCGCTGGCGGCGCGCGAAGGCGGCCGCGGCTTGGGCGAGGCCGCATGCCGCTCGGGCAGACCGGTGTTGTTTGCCGCGGGCAAAGAAATGTTCAACGCCGAGCCGGACGAAACCGTGCGCCGGGGCGCCTGTCTATGGGCACGCGGCGTCTCTGTGGAGAGGCGGTCCGAGGAGATCGACGTGAGCGCCGAGCCGCCGCGGTCCGGCGAGTCGTAGCCGTAAGCCATGGAGCCGTAGATGGAGGAGTTGAATTTGCGGATGCGGTCGGGCGAATCGTCTTCTGGCTTGGAGCGCAGGGGTCCGGTGAGGGACAAGTTCTTCAAGAACGACAGCAAGTTCTTGCCGCGGCCGCCCTTTTCGCCGAAAATAAACTCGTTGGTGTTGGTGCCGTAGACCTGGGACATCTCGTGCTTTTTCTTGGGCATTTTGAGCGAATGGGCGGGGCCGGCACGCGTGGCGACGGTGTTCTGTGGTGGAGCCTCTTTGGGTATGCTCCGCGGCAGGACGGGTGTTTTGGTTTGTCGCGGCAGGTTTGGTTGTTTTTGTTTGTTTTGGCCGTTTTGGTTGTTTTGGCTGCTTTGGTTGTTTTGGCGGCTTTGGTTGTTTTGCGTGTCTCGTTTTGCCTTATCTCCCGGCGGGCGAGAGTATTGCAGAACTGGTTGATGTACAGTCTGCGCTGTGCTGGGCGGTTCTGAAGGGCCCGTCCTATTGTTTCTTGTACGAGCACGCGCCGCACGTTGCGGAGTCCGTGTGCGGTCACGTGACCGCCGGCTGGCGCCACGGCGGGCGTTTGCCTGCGGCCCTCTTTTGCGGGAGCGGCCCCGGCCCCGGTGCTTGGCTCGAGAACTCCTTCTTCTTCGTTTGGGCAAATACACGCCATCTGGGTGGCCCTGTGGCCCTGTCTGGCCTGCTATTAGTTGCTGGTTCCGGGCTAGCAGTGCGGGCACGGACCGGCGTCACGTGACAAGGGCCCTACGCCTTGCGCTGCCTTCCGGTCTTGGGCAACTTCTTGGCCCCGAAACTACGTGTGTTTTTCTTCATGGTGTTTCATTTCTCGCTTGTGCTTCTTTTCATTTCTCTCCCCTGCTTCATCTCATATCTCTCTCGTGCTTCGTTTTATTTCTCTCTCATGCTTCTTCTCATTTCTCTCTCGTGCTTCTTCTCATTTCTCTTTCGTGCTTCTTCTCATTTCTCTTTCGTGCTTCTTTTCATTTCTTGCTTGTACTTCTAAACTTCTCTCCCGCTTCTTCTCATATATCTCTCCTGCTTCTTTTCAGTTCTTGAAACTGGTACTTCTAGTATTCTCCTGGAAACAGCACTGGGGATTCTGATGCGCGAGGCGGACCCAGCTCGCGCATCATTAGGGCCGAATTTGACACGGGCCAAACTCGGGCACACAGCCTTATTTTAAAAAAAAATGTTTGCGTGTGCTCGATGTTCTGGATGTTGCTACTAGTGATGGCCCCAAAGCAGCGAAAATGCCGACGTCGAGCTACCGCTCTGAATTCCATGATGCTCTATACCTGACATACTGGAGCCGCTGGTTGGGTGCAAAAAAAGAAGTAGGGCCGCCCAAGCTCACCATGCCTGAGCTCTATGTCTGATTTGAACAGTGAATGGGAATACTGGCCTCCTTTGTAGTTCGATTCCGGAGACCGGAATCCTGCACCATTCTGTGTCATCTGTATTCTCCAGCAAAACCTCTAGAATGCACACGTGCCAGCTGTGTCTCCTATTGTGCTGGCTCGGCCATTTTCGAGAAATTGATACCAAGTGAGGAAACCTTCAAGGAAGATCCTCCGCTTTACGAAATTTCGTCTTTTAATTCAGGAGAGCGACCCCTGTTAATACAACACTACCCCATAACCCCAGTCTCTTGTCGTTTCCGTTCCCCGCAATGCCCGAATTCGAGGAGGGAATCACCCAAACTTCTAATCAAAACTCAGCCGAGTACTGGCAATCCACGGTTCTAGCCCTCGTACACAACTTGGACAAAAACAACCCCATGGCAAATAACTAGGATATCAAGGTTTTCTTTACTGAAGCAGTTTGCCGAAAAGGTGTTATATCCAATTTAATTGACCCATCACATACCGGATATAAACAAGGGGACTATATTCATGGGTACGTCACCATTGAAAATCAGTTCAACGACCAATACCATTTGATATAGTCTACGTTGCTTTCGAAGGTATGCTCTGTGTGGTTCAGCTGGGAAATGGCACGAAAGACTCTCTTAATCCACCCACGGTTGCCAGATTCTTAAATATGCTCGACTTGTTCGCATCCTGGTCTTATGCAAACATAGACCGTCTTGTTACTGACAGTGGAGGCCCTCATGATTGGTGTGAATACGATACAGATCCATGGGATAACACACAACTATCAATTGATGTTAAGAGGCTGTTTCTGCCTCATACCACCTCATTCGCCATCAGCGAAGGACACCTTGACCAGCCGGCCGTCAGCCGCAAGACAAACAGCAAGTTTATGTGGAGTGACCATTCCCACCCAAAACCACCCATTTGCAGCTGCTTTGGGTGCCCCATGAATTCCCGACAAATCACACAAGAGGAAACTTGCTGAGTGCCGCAGTAGACCTGGTGACCAGCGGAAAAAGCTACTCCATCTGGCTGATGCCCCGAAGCGCTGCAGCCCGGCCGGAGAGGCGCCTGAATTTGAGCGTCTACTTCAGCAAGCCTGGCCATCTGGCCATGCATATTTTAGTGCTGAACATCTGGCCATGCATATTCCAGTACCGAACATCACCAGAGCTCGGCGCCACTGGATCCCTGGAAGGCTTGACTACTTCCAGCCCTCAAAATCCCATAGCTCTCACGAACAGCCGCCCGGAAACGCCGTCAGATATAAACTCGTCTGATACCGTTCTATATTCACGCTCTATACACGCCGTCTAATGGCCCTTGACCTCGCCCTTCACAACAGCACCGCCGTGCTTCAACTCTCTGCCGGTCAAGTGCAACGTGCCGTTCTGCGTGATGTTGACAATGACCTCCAAGTTGGAGTCGGGCTTCAAGTCGGTCAAGGCCAACTTGGCCAACAACTCGCCGGCCACGTACACGACCTCCTTCCTGATCTCAGGCTCGTCGTCCGACTCGTCCTCGGAGTCGTCGTCCGAAGAAGGCTCGCGCTCCACCACCGTCTCCTTGATGGTTCTCTTGCCCTCGTACAACTCCACCACCACGTCCGCGGCCTGGCCGTTGGTGACCTGGATCGCCTTCTTGATGGGGTACGCGGTCTCCGCGACCAAGAGCGGCTGGAAAGCGCCCTCGGCGTCCTTGATGCCGATGGGCGCCTGCAAGTGCTGCGTGTTCACTACCACGGGCTGCAAGGACTCCTTGATCTCGTCAGCGTCGAAGCCCTCCACCAACGCGGCCTGCAAGGCAGCACCCTTGGTGGACAACTCCTCCGGGTTGGTGGCCTTGGGGTCCAAGGAAGGCGCAATGACAGTGGTGGACTCGGGGAACACGAACTGCACGTTCTGGGCCAACTTGACCACGTTGGCACAGCCGCCGGCAAGCAAGACCTCGTCGATGTACAAGCTGTCGAGGCCGGCCTTGGCCAAGACCTTCTCGACAAACGCGGTCATGTCGCTCAACGGCTTTCTGGCGGCCAACTCGAATCTCATGCGGTTGATGTTGGCAAGGAAGTCGTAGCCCTCGGCCAACGACTCCACGGAAAACGACGACGACTGCACATTGGACAACGTCTTCTTGGCCACGATGGACTCGGCCTTCAACTTGGCCAACGAGCGCGCGTTCAGCCGGGGGTTGGCCTTGAACTTCTTCTCGAACTCCTTGGCAAAGTACTCCAGGATGGCGGCGTCCAAGTCGTCGCCACCCAACTTCTTCTCGTGCGCTGTGGCCAAGATGGTCATGATGCCGCCGCGCACGGAGATCACGGCCGCGTCGGACCGGATCCCGCCAAAGTCCGCCACCACATAGAGCTTGTCCTGCAACATGCGGTCCTCGCCGGACGCGATGGAGTAGGCCGTCAAATGCGCCAACAACGCCGCGGAGGGCTCGTGGATCTCCTGCACCACGGCCATGCCTGCAGCGGCAACCGCGGCCACCAACACCTGTTTCTGGTGCTCGGAGAAGTCCGTGGGCACGGTCAACACCACGTTGACCACCTCCTTGCCCAAGTAGTCCTCGGCGGCAAGCTTCAACTGCTTGAAGTGTCTGGTGGTGGCCTCCTCCACGGAAACCTCCTCGATCTCGCCGTTCTCACGGGTGATTTTGTACCCCACGCCGCCGTTGGCAGTCTCGATGGGCGTGGCGCCGTGGGCGGCCACAGAGGCGTCGATCTCGGCGTATTTTTTCCCGAGAAAGTCGCGGAAGTTGACGATGGTGTTGGCCGCGTTTCTGACCAATTGCGCCTGCGCCTGGGCGCCGTGGTACTCGTCGGTGCCGATGTATGAAAGCACCGATGGGATGGCTCTGTCGCCGTCGGGGTTGGCGATGACATCGACCTTTCCGTCCTGCGTGGCGACCGCAATGGACGACGACGTGTTTCCAAACGTGATTCCAATGACACTGGACATGGTAGATGTGGGTCGGGGGCAGCTGTGGTGGATTTGCTGGGGGGGTGGAAAAAGAACCTCTGTAGTCCTCAGCCATTTTCGTATGGAGATGGTTTGGATGAGCCGCGCTTTTTTGCGTGCTCCGTGTGCACACCTTCTTCACCCAATAGTGAAGGCTCGTCCGTATGCAATGGTGAAGAGCTGCGAGGCCCTGGCTAGGGAGGGAAATGTGTGAGCGGGTTGGATTTATGGCAGCAGATGTGAATGTTTTTTTTTTTTGGTTTTTTTGCTCTGTTTTTTTTCTGATCTCCATAATGCTGATATCGTATTGTGCACTGCCAAATGTGTTTCTTCTGCTGGAACTGGCATGGCTTGAACTGCTTGTGAGGCACGTGCCGAGCGGCCGCGGAAAGGAGCCTGGTTCCGAAGCTTTGAGCCATCACCACGTGAAAAATAATAGGAGCGTTCTTGGCGAGTAGTACCTGTTCTTAGTGTAACAGGCGAAAAAATGGACGAGTCCGGATTTGAACCGGAGACCTTTCCCATGCTAAGGGAACGCGCTACCAACTGCGCCACACGCCCAGACGATGGTTGGGGAAGGTGCTTTGTTAATATGAAAATTGTGCTTGTAGTATTCGCCTCCGAAACTGTGTTTTTGGCATATATTTGTTTCTGTAATCAGATTTTCTACCAGGAAAATACCAGGTCCAGAAGGAATCGTGCCTTTTTCAAAATCCCACACTCGGGAGTCGATGACGTAATATCCAATACGTAAACAGATACGTGCCATGAGGACTGTCCAGGCCGTGACAAACGGAAGGGGACGGGCCGAGCTAAGACACTTGGTACGTAGCTGGGAGCTGTTTAAAGGTTTTTTCTATATATTTGCTATATAGTTTTGCCCCTTTAATCAGATGAATCTACCAAAAAAAAACTCGGCATTCGGAGCTGTCTAATGAGTTTCCTTTAGTGTAATTCCTTGAATCATTTTTTCTTGAACTTAATAATTTTACCATTCACAGACTGTGGCCAAGAGCTCTTTTCAATTTACGTTTGATGGGCTACTTACATCTGATTGGTCAACTGCAAGGGGCTGATGCCATCCTCAGCGGAAACTCTTCCGGAAAGTCACATCTTTTGAGATACAGGACCCTGGCGTTGAACTTATGATTTGAGAAAGCGATTTATTGTATGTTTCTTGATAATTCCTAGTACCTGGTGGTATATTTAGCTCTACGCAGAATTTCCGCCAGCACTGTCCTTAGATAAGAAGATACTTGATTGTGGTATACACCATCTTTTTCAGAATTCTTTCAATTGAAATCGTACAAATTAGACACACATCGAATCACTTCGTGAACATATATAACTATATGTTAGAGTATTTTCTTAGGCTTTTCCGTGTACTCTACTTACGATGTGAATCAAAAAGCCATCAGGTCTCCGGCTCAACTTGGCCATCTGGGCGCCAAGTCAATGCTTCAGATTGGATAATTTGATCGCTGTGCGAAAATCCATGCTACCCTCTTATCAATCTTTCTAAGACTCTTTCTTGGTAGGTATTTCTGGTTGGTGACAGCTCAAAATTTTATATCAAGAGCTCACCGTCAGATTTTTTCAAATTGACGTGCGTTAATAGTATTGAAGAGGATCATTACTCGAAGTAACAACATTATTTGCATGCATAGATGATCATTCTCAAGAAACCTTAGAATCAAATCTATTTTCCATTCTCGCAGATATGATTTACGGCCTTGTTCAGCCATCAAAATTTTTTGATCTTTATCGCCCGTAGTCCATTTTTGGTGTGTTGAGGGAAAAACCACAGGCGCTCATAAACTCATAAGAGCTTAAGAAATTCGGAAGATCAGATATGCATCACGGCTTTCCTTTCACGATATCATCATTTTTCATGGAGGTGCACTCAACCGCCAATATCATCATTTTTGAAGCCCTCTTGCTAACGCCATTCTCTCGGACTCAAGTATAAAACTCTTAATTTAAGTGTGCTCAAGAATATTATTCCACCTTGAAATCCCACATGATCATGAAAAAAGCAGTATTTCCTGTCCATGTTTGGAGCTCACTACTTGCATGGCACAAAGTAAATCTTTAATAGCACCCGGTTACAAAAACAAGGTATTTATTGGCTGAGTAAAAGCCAAACTTACTCGTGGCCACTTCAGAATGATCTGAAGAAATGATCCGGCGCAGGAGGTCAGATTTTGTAAGATGGTCTATACAAGCGAAGCAATTTGGGGCATTTCAGGGCTTTTCTTGGATTTTTAGCTGACTCACTTCCGTGTTCATCCTGAGTTAAAAATGAAGTAGGAATTGTTTTGTTTCAAAGGGTGAAGAGCGGTCTTCTTTGCAGATAATTTGCCACTCACGCTGTCATTTTTCGACCCGTATATACCTCATTCACAATTGTCCCGGATATGGTTTATTTCCCCGTATACAAGCCGAGAATGTGTTTTTTGTCAAACTCTTAAACATAAGAGGCACTAGATCTCACCCGTCATTATAATCATCATTGCATGCGACTATTGAGGTGAATTCCCACCATTGGTCATGTAATCTACAAGTGTGGTCGTGTTGGCACAAAAATAAAATTTTCAGTAACTTGGAAAAAGATGCTACCAAGCAGGATGATCCTTTTTCTCCTAAACTTCTTTGAAGTAGTCTTTTAGAAGCCTGATGAAAACTGTGATCTGTACGTTGCATACTCTACATCAATCAATCTATCTTTCGAAAAGTATTCGAGCTACCCAACCATTCCTTTGTAATGAGAAAACAAATGCCAGAATTATATATATGCATAGATGTCACACAATTATTATGTTCAGTCACAGGAATATTTTGGTTGTTGGGCAGTGTTGTAAGCAAGCCGGCAGTTTATCAGATTGATTCGTGCAGGTGCGGTTGGGCCCGACTGTTAATGGGCATTATATACAAGTTAGACATTCCGTCACAGCTGCAAACACCAAATAAGAGACCACCATTAAATCTGGAAAGCTGAAATTAGCTATGCTGCCTGATTTTGCATATTCCTTTTAGCAAAATAGAATCTTCATTGCCATTTGCCTTGCTTTCGATTTTTGGTTTGTCTTTTTTCTTTCTTCAGGATTACTTTTGCAGCCATTCGCGCACAAAAACGAAAATCAAATTTTTGCACCCGCCTCTACTTTCCTTCCAAACAATACCACCACTCATAAAAGGACCCAAACGACTACACATGAAGATATCAAACCAAAGAAGCATTGTCCACCTTGACCATTCAGGGGAGTTGGCCTTCCAGAAAAAAGTGAAGGTCTACCAGACCCACAACGTGGAGAGCCATATTCTGGAGCTCACAGCGGACTTGGCTGCTTTGAAAACTCAGCTTGCACGTGTGATTGCAAAGTTCCCGTTCACCTTAAAACAGGGGGAGAGCAAGACGATTATGGGGAAAATTTCACAAAAAGAGTGTAGGGATGCCGTCGTGCAAGTGATGTCACAGGTGTTAGTGTTAATGAAGAAATGCGCCGTGTACTACCAGCGGCTCCTGGAAGACCTTGCCCAATTTCTGGAAGAGGCCCCTAAAATAGTGGCCGAGTACGCAGACTTGAACCGCATGTTGGGCGATGCATACCTTGATTTCAGTGCGTTACCCAAGCGGTGCCTGGAGCTCATTGAGTCCGAGAGCTGTTTCCGCGCCAGGGTCACTTTCGACAAAATGTTCAAGTGCCACCAGTACTTGCTCGGTGAGACCAAGCGGTTCAAGAAGGCCACCCACGACAAAATTACCTCGTTGGCCCGCGTGTCCGAGCTCACCGAGTTCTCCGATCGCTTGATTGTGCTTGTCAATCTCGTGCACGACTACATCTACGCGGTCTCCCAGGAAGACGAGCTCGTGTGTTTGATGCGGCAGATCTACGTGCCGGGATACATGTGCGTGGGTCACGAACACCTTGCGGTGAAACAGGCGTACCGTGCGTTGGTCAGTTACTATGAGCGATTGCGGTCGCCCGCCGAGATGTTGAAGGCGGTGCTGCCCGTAGCACGCAGCCTCCAGCAGGTGTTTTTGATGGCGGGCCGTGCTGAGGACAACCTCTCCTACTACTATAAGGAGGCGATTCTCCCACTCCAGACTGGGCTCGATGCCAAGATCCGCCAGCGCGAGGCTGATTTGGGTGAAGGCGTTGTTTTTGACTAGTAGTGATGTGAACGAAAAGGGAAAATAGTAGAATAAAGGAAATGTCAGAACAAGGAAAATCCCAGAAGTTGAGAGCGACAGGAAGAAGGGTGATGGCAGAAATACGATGGAGTATTTAGTGCTAGTGGGATGGAGGAGAGTAAGAGGAGAAGGGTTGGAAGAGGATGAGCCCCGAAGAGAGCTTGAAAGAAAGAAAAAAAAAACAAAGAGTAAAAAAGGCCCTGTAATCTGTTTGTCAAGTCTGGGTGCGGAAGCTGTGCTGTGGCCCCAGCCCCAGGCCTGAGCAGATTGGAGGCCTGCGCCCAGCACCTCATCTCCATCGCGGGCCGCATCTGGAAAATCTCCATCGCAACCATCTCAAAACAGGTCTCTCAGATCACCCCGCTTTTCATATACTATCCAGATAAACACCATGCGGTTTTTTGTTTCCGCAGATGAAAGCGGAAATGTCAAGGAGGTCGTGTGCTCAAAGGGAACCGACACCTCCAAAAAAGACGGCCAGCAGCCGGACTTGGTGCAGAACCTCCTCCAGAAACATGACTTGACCACGGTGAAAACCCGCATAGTCCACTTGAAAACATTTCAGGAGAGATGGATTGTGACTGCGCGCCTCGGGGGCTTTCTAAACGTGTAAGATTTCTTTGGCTCGTCGGAAATCGACGCTGAAAACTACGCTCTTCTACACACCTACAAACTAGACGTGGACCTGGCAGATAAGCCGGTGTCATTGGTGGCTTTCGAGGAGCACGACTTTGTGCTTGTGGCGTTTGAATCAGCCAAATTGTTTGTTGTGCATTTCGATGGCGGCAAGTTCACCACGGCCCCTCTTTGCATTGCTCTCCCCCCTCGCCAAACAAAAAACCCCACAACACTCAGTGCATTCGTGGCCAACCCGTACGTGGCAGGTGTTTTCGCGTACGGCGGAAAAGATAACGATCTCCAGGTCATCAGGCTCTTTGACAGCAGCAAGAAATTCAGCAACGCCGACTTTGCGGACCTGAAATCCTGGAAGGTGAAGACGCTCTTCCAGGCCGAGAACGTCGAGCCAGACCACTTGGACTTGGAGGTGCCGATCTGGATCACTAACATTTTGTTCATGCAGGGCGAGGCCAAGAAGAAGTTTAAGCTCGTCACCGCCACGAAATATGGCCACATCCGGAAGTACAATACCGCGGAGGACACTGAACCAACAGAGCTGTACAAGGTGTGCGACAAGCCGATCATTTCGATGGTTTTTGCTTCGGAGAACCAGGACGAGGTCATTATTTCGGACACACATACATTTGTGGCCAAGTTGTCCTTGACGCAGGTGGACAAGAAAGCCCACCGGATCATTTCTGCGTCTGCAGGCACATTCTACAAGCCCAGCTTGAAGCTTCTTGGCAAGTTTTCAGAAGGAGGAAATACAGGTGCCATCTATGGTGTGGATGTGTCTTTTAATGCAGGGCTTGTGGCCATTGGTGGCCTTGATCGGTACTTGCGTGTGTTTGACATTGGGAGCCGGAAGCTTGTGCTGAAGGTGTACCTAGGGACCCAGATCAGCACAATCAAGATGCTTGACGACACTGATAGCGGCGACAAGGAGGGTGATAAGAGAGATGCGGAAGAAGATGACGAATTTTGGAATGCTCTTGACGAGGGCAAGGACACCAACGGTGGGGCACCTTTGCTTAAGAAGAGAAAGAGAAACATATAGAAATGCAGAGAGTCGAAGGCTGGTTGCGATGAGTCTGTGTTCTGAAGGGTTAAAGGACATGCAGACATGCACGATATATTAGAACAGTGCTGCGTTTGTCCTCTGGGATGTAGCCGAATTCTATTTGGTGGCGATTTTAATCTCAGTCCACTGAATTGAGAGGGAAGCATGGGAAGCCAGCGAAGCAGGCGTCTGCCACGCATGCAAATAGCGTTTCGAACTAAGCCATTTGGACAACACTGCGTTGCACATCAACACAAACATTTTGTAAAGAGTTTTTAAGTCGCTGCACCCGAGCTTTTGAATGCTTGCAGCCAGCTCGTGGCTCAAAACACAACGGCGCCATACTCGTCTCAGCCCACACCAGAGCCATTTCACCACTCAGACAACGCCAGAGACCAGATGCAGCCACATCCAATCCCCCCAAGTTCATACGACAGTAGAACTGCCATACTGTCCTAATCACCAGCATCTCACTAAAGCATGTAGCGTGGATTCGCATCCGGGATACAGCCATCCGTCAGTGTTCACAGGGTCTTCCGACATACTGTGGTCCGGCATGTGTTTCCGGGCGTTAGATCACCTTGGAGAAGTCGGGCCCTGTGTTTACGCTGGCTTTCAGATGATTCTGGCCTTAAAAGAACTGTGGGCCTCTAGACACCACACAAACCTCGGACTTGAATGCCTTGGAGTCATACCTCGGAGTGACGCCTCGGACTGATACCTCGGAGCCATTTCTCGGAGCCATTTCTCGGAGTCATAGCTCGGACTGATAGCTCGGACTGATACCTCGGACTCATACCGCGACATCAGAACTCCCAATTGTCTCAGACACCTCCTTTCAGACAGCACCATGGCCCCAGCCTACAGGCTGGCCGGCGGGCGCAGCAGGTACATCGGGTCGTCCGCGCTGAGCACGGCCCGCGCGTCCTGGCGGTTGCTGGTGTTGATCTCGCTCATGCACTGCCACTCGTTCATGTAGTTGCACTTCCAGAGGCGCACCTTGCCGTCGTCGCCCGCAGAACTGAGAATGGTGCCCGTGGCGTTCCACTCCACGCGCCACACCTCCTGGCGGTGGTCGTTGAGCTTGGCCACCGTCTCCACGCGGAGGTCGCCGGAGGCGGTTTCAAAGGCCTTGAAGATGCGGATGTAGCCGTCCTTGCAGCCCGTCGCCAAGAGGTGGTGGCTGCGGCCCATGGACGGGGCCCAGCTGACCAGGCGGATGAGCCCGTTGTGCTCCGGCAAGCTGCACACCTTGACGTAGCGCGGCGTGCGTTCCGACGGGCCACTGGGCTCGTCGAGAAGGTCCGAGGACCGCGCCGCCTCGGCCCGGGGCGCGGCAAACGGCTTGCCGGGCGCGGCCAGCGCGTCCGCGGTGCTGAACACAAAGCCCTGGTCGAGCGCAATGACCGCAAACTTCTCGGTTTTCGCGAATTTGGACGGGCACCACTCGATGCTGAAGCTGCTCTGGAGGCTCTTTGCCGGGAGCTGCAGGTCGAGGATCGGGATCTCCGCGCAGAGCTCCCACACCAGGAGGTCCGCGGGCTCGACCAGCTGGTAGACGCGCACAATGCCGTCGGAGCCGACGCACGCGAGCTTCAAGCCCAAATGGGGCGGCGCAAACTGCACGTCGTAGATGGGGCCGAACAGCTCCACGGCCAAGGTGGCCAACTTGTACCAGCGGCGGCCCAGGCCCTGGAGCTCGTCCGGCATTTCCTGCCAGATCTTGACCGTGCGGTCGTACGAACACAGCGCCAAGATCTTGAAGCTGGAGAACTCCGGGTGGGCCCACAGGAGCCGCACCACCAGCGAGTCGTGCGCCTTCCAGGAGTCGTTGAGCACCCATGTTTGCGTGGCCAGGTCCAAGTCGAACACTTTCACATGCTGGTCCGAGCTGGCCGTGGCCACGTGCCGCCCGTAGAAGTCGTACTTGATATCGTGGACGAGCTCCTCGTGGCCGGTCTGGAACGCCCTCATGGCGAGGAAAAAGCGGGTTTCGAGGGGGGTTTCGAGGGGAACTGGGGATGCCGGAGCGCGTGGCGGGGTCCGTTTGGCGGGTTTCGGCGTGTGGCGGTGGCTTGCTGGGGCTTGTGGAGAAAAGCCGGGTGGTTTTGCGCGGGGCGGGACTGGATTTGGCGGCGCCAGGCCTAGGTGCGCGCCGGTGGATTGGGGCCTTGATGCGCGGGGGCCTGGTTAGTGAGGCGACGTTTTTTGTGATGGTGACAAGGGTGTTTGTTTCTGGTGGTTTTTGGATTTTGGTGGATTTTGGTGGTTTGTTACGGTGTTGATGTTTTCTGGCGGTTTATTCTGGTGCTTTTTCGGGTGCTTGTGGTGTTGGCATCGAGGATGGCGTTGGTGTATATTAACTGATGCTGGGTCATAGACTTAGTGCGATAAGGTAGTAAGAAAGGGAAACAACCCAGACTATAAAGTGAGCGTCCCAAAAATAACGAAGTGTGCATAATCTATGAAAGTCAAGAATAAAGACAATTAGTATGTGGGCTCGACAATGACCATCATACGATGATAATGTAACAATGCACTAATTTGATATATATGAGGAATATATACTCAAATTAGAGTGACTTCACGGGTCTGAGTTGAAAACTGACTATGGATATAAGAAGGTATCATCGTAGCGGAATACAGACTGAAAAATAAATTCGAGAGATATTGCTGGCTTGAGTAACGATACATAATAAAAAATTACCCTCCAAAAGTCATAATGTTTAACAATAAACGAACGGTCTCTAAGATAAAAATAATTTATGGGTGAAAAGACGAGTAAAAAAAGAGTGGGGATATTGATCTTGGTGGATTTGTTGGTGGAACCGTTGGTGAGATTACTGGTGGAAAATTTGGTGGCAGCACTAGCGGAAATATTGGGGGAAACACTGGAACGAATATTGCGATAATATTGGTAGGAGTATCGGTCGGAGTATTGGTGGGAATATTGGGGAATACTAGTGGGATTATTATATGGGAATGTTGTTAATATAATCAGTGATGGGATTGGTGTCTGTTTCTGCTCCGGCTTCAATATTGGCTTTGGTTATTAATACACGCGGAATCTGTGGATAATAGCCCTCATACCAATGCCAAAATTACTATGATGAAAATGGTAATATGAATCAGTGAATTAATATTTACGGTGCCGCTGGGAATAAAATTGAAGCTTTTACTTGCTCTTCAAAATATATCCGAAGTATCCCAATAAATCAAAGCAATCCTGCTAACATCGGCCACAACTGCATGGAACTCACGAGTCTGGTGTGAGCATATGTTGATCTTCGTTCGATGACGTCTGCAAACAAACCATAAACGTTTTCTCTTGCAGTATTTTTCATCTCACCTCCAAGGAACTCTGGGTTTGTAATTTTTTTCAACACAAATTATTGCCACTGAATAATATGTTTATAGCTATGGGTTGGGGTCCGAGGGTTGGTTCAATTGGTGCAAAAAAGTCAACACTCTTCCATGAAGCGAGCCTCAAAAACTTGGCTAAAATATAAGGAACACCAATTACTTCAGCATACAGGCAAAGCAGAGAAATAAAAAAGAAACTATCTCGTACACTTTTCCATGAATATATGCTGCTTTACTCAAGAAAGCACCAGAAGCTATTTGGTTGGGGCATGTTAGCGCATAAACGAGCACGTGAGAAATGCAATGGAGAAGTCACGTGAGGTAATTATTACATATAGAAATGAGGGCGATGACGAAGGAGAAGGTTTCTTTCTCTGAGCTGAGTCCGTAGTAAGTAGTTTCTCAAGTATACACCAATATTGTGAACACAACGCTCGAATCCTTCTCTGATTAGGTAACATATGCATCTTCCGCTGATCGTTGTGAGATGGTAGAGCTTCCCAACCAAAAGGTCAGGAAATAGAAACGCTGGCACCAGAAGATTCACCCAGATTCCTGGATTTGGATTGGATGTGTGTTTTATGAAAAGGAAATCTACGGCTAGTGTTACAACTCGTGATGCCAAGCCAAGTTTCCAGCCAAGTTTCCAACTAGGTCGCCGTTGCGTAATGTCATGCCAAATGCATTGAAAATGTTCGTCATGTTTCCACTTCCCGCTCAATGTGTGGTGCGGGACTGGGAGAATAAGCAAAGACACGTTTGCTCAAAGTCACATGAAGATCTTGAAAAATCCACCAAAGGCCCCTGCCAGTCCCAGTCGGGGATACTAGACCTGAGCAGGAATTTCTCCAGAAGAAAAATATTTCATACAGTCTGCTTCGAATCTCAACTGGTTTCTTTTCTTGTTCCAGCGTATATTTTTGATGATTGGCGGTGTTTTCTCAACGGCCCCTAATAAAAGACACGCGCAGCGTAATTAAACCACCTCAAACCACACGTGAAGTACCTATCACTCACTGAAAAACCTCTTCTAACATATCAACAGATTTGAAAGGTCAAAACCGCTCCTCAAAACACGTAGCTAAGTCCACGAGCCGGGAAGAGGTTACGGACCCGGTCTCCAACCGAGCCCTGTCACGTGACATGACTGGGGACACGTTCCGATTACTCTCACTAGTTTCAAGCTTATGCCACGCATAATAGTTCTTCGTTTCGAACCATTCCTTCCTAATAATTCGCCATAGTGCCGGCTCCACAAACAAACCCGCTTTCCAAGATCTGTCGTTATTGCCCGAAACAAAGAATATGACTCTTCTCCAGCTTTCGGCATTGGTGGCTGCGGCGGCCCTTCTAAAAGCCCATAGTCCACTCCACACCGCCGTTGCTTTTGGGCTTGTCGGGTATGTTGTCACATCGCACTTGATCCCACGTCTAGGTGCCAGTTTTATGAAGGTGGGCCTCAAAGGAAAGGACTTGCTGAAACCAGGACCCGTGCAGCCGATTCCAGAGTCAATGGGCGTGGTGCCCGCCGTCACATATATGGTGCTTTTGGTGACGATCATCCCGTTTGTCTTTTTCAAGTATTTGGTGTCGTTTCTGGCCATGGCGAACGAGGAGGATTTGTCTGCATTGTACAATGCGCAGTACCACCTGGTGGACAACCACAATCTATTTCCCCACAACAAGCTCGCCGAGTACTTAAGCGGTGCGTTGTGCCTCATGTGCACACTTCTCCTTGGTTTTTTTGACGATCTCTTTGATATTCGGTGGCGCCACAAGTTCTTCTTGCCTGCGGTGGCATCACTCCCGTTGTTGATCGTATACTATGTGAATTTCAGCGTCACATCCGTAGTGGTGCCGCTGTTCGTGACAAGCACGGCTGTCGGTGAGACTGCGCTTGAATGGTTGAGTGGATTTTGCAACTGGGCCAATGCCATGGTCACGTGGATCACGGGGCTCAAGTTTACTACCTTGACCACGGACTACCACTTTGCAGCTGTCAGTGCACCCAAGTTGCTTGACTTGGGAATCTTCTACTATGCGTACATGTCTGCGTTGTCGATATTTGCGCCCAACTCCATCAACATTTTGGCCGGCATCAATGGGTTGGAAGTGGGCCAGTCCATAGTGTTGGCGGTCATTTTCCTAGCCAACGACATGTGTTACTTGATGAGCTCGTCAATCTCAATGGCCGCGTACGACTCGCACATGCTCTCGGCCATATTTATTATTCCGTTCTTGGGTGTGTCTTTGGGGCTTTTTCAGTACAATTTTTACCCGGCTCAAGTGTTCGTGGGTGACACCTACTGCTACTTCAGTGGAATGGTGTTTGCCATTGTTGGGATCTTGGGTCACTTCTCCAAAACCTTGCTAATTTTTTTGTTGCCGCAGATCCTCAACTTCGTGTACTCGGTGCCACAGTTGTTCAACATTGTGCCATGTCCAAGACACCGACTCCCGAAATTCGACGAACAAACTGGGTTGATGAACGTCAGCTATGGTGAACTAGCAAAGAGCAGCAGGATGAACAGTTTGTTCTTGGAGACCTTGGCTTTTTTCAAGCTAGTGAAAGTGGAACGAAACGAAAGAGGCGGGATCACGCGATTCTCGAACTTGACGATTATCAATTTGGCCTTGGTGTGGTTCGGGCCCATGCGCGAGGACAAGCTCTGCTTGTTTCTTTTACTGGTGCAATTATTTGTGGGGATTTCAATGCTTGTGGTGCGCCACACTGTGGGACCATGGCTTTTTGGTTACGACAACTTGTCTTGGGGAGCCAAGTAGACGCAATGACAGAGACAAAAGAATGACAAGGAAAGTGCTTCCATTACGTCTTCTGAGGTATTCCAGATCATACACCGATTTAAGGTCGTCTCGGAGAATACTTGTTGTTTTAAATCAGAAGAATCTGATAACGTCAGCAAAAATCTCTTTCCACCAAGTATTTTGGTATCTGATGCGGAGGACTCTTTGTCGTTTTCAAAATCGGCGAAGTTTTGGTAATTGTTTCATATGGACTTCAGATCAATTCAGGAGCGAATATTTAAGACAAACTTCATAGATGGCGAAGGCTAAGTTGTCTTGACCAGATTGAAATTGCCACACGCACACTTCGTGGGTAAATAGGCAGCGTAAAAACATCAATGATCTCCCCGGAAGTTTGAAGCAAATTGAGCCGGTATATGTCAAATCTTCCCGTGATATCGGGAAGAAGTTCTTTGAACCAGCTTTCTTTGGGCATTGGAGCCTCTCCATGCCAAATAAACGTACTTAATTCAAGCCCTCCAGAAACTTCCATAATTAGTTAGCTTTAGTGTTTGCATCTTGGGTGCTCAAAAGACTTTAGCTAATGGCGTCGAACTTGAAATTGCTTGTCTTTGAGTTGTAGCCACACATTCAGCAGATCTACTGTTTGCTCACGCATTATTATGTGCCTTGTATGTCACTCGAATAGTACAAGTAAAAAGCAAAGACACAGAACCAGTCTCACAGCATTGATATAGACCTCAAGGACAAGAAATATTGGCATGTATTGTGAGCATTGTATTGAAGAGGACCGCGCGAACTGACCCATCGCTGCTTGCTTTTAGTTTCGAGCCGTCTCAAAATAGATGGAGCTACATTAACGAGATTACAAATTGAGGTTAATGGTGTTGTGGAATACCAGCAAAGGAATGGATACCTGTCTTGTGTTATGAATAAAAATCTTGCTGGCTGGTTTTACCTCACGGTTGTTGATATATGCTCTCGGGAAAGTCGATGGCTTAGCTTTGGCAAATGTTGCTTGTTTTGACCTGAAATGGTTCAAGCTTGCTGGATATAAGTATGTGCACAATCATTTCTATCAAAGTGGGTGGTTTGAATCTTGTTAGTACTTTGCTCAGAGTAGAAATCTATTACCGCGAGATTGAAGAATAATGATCAGGATAAGTATTGGCATTGAAGTTTCAGCATCTTGCGTGGAGTGTCCTTGTCGGAATTATACAATAGGATCCGCTGCTTCATTTTAGGAGAGCCCGACCTGGTCGAGATGCTGTCATACCATTTTTGGAGAACCGTGTTGTGCTGTGGACAAAAAGACATGCAATCGACACGAGACGCCCAGTAAAGTGGCGAACATAGTACCAAAATGGGGCTTTACCTGGTCAAAAGACTCAATAAAAGGAAGTTCACGCGAGAAGTACGCCCATGATTATAAAATTTCTCTCGAACAGCTAGCAAAAAGAGACTAACCGAAGAAGGTGTTTTGGCACTGTTTCTGAGGCAAGTTTCTGGGAAAGTAAGGGGGCAATACCGGGGGGAATATAAAGTACGTGCAAGTGCCATGCTCATGAGGCGAATTTGGCCCGAGCGCCGGGGGTCGAAGAGTAACAAGAAGCATAGTAGAAAACAAGTCAAAAGCAAAACCACACACGGAATAAATCACGGAATCAATCGCGGCATCAGTAACAAAATCCATACGAAATCTCATTATATCCCCATATCACTAGCCAAATAAGCAAGCCAGAAAGCCGAATTCAGCAAAGCATAGAAAAGATCGCCCAATCAGCTGGAGCTGCCAATGACATTTTGGCCAATGCTCAGCGGTAGTTTCCAAACTGTTTTCCCGATAATCAGAAAAGACAGAAAATACAACAACTCAGAAAGGCAGCATTCCGATAACAAAAACGTGTAATATGAAGGAAGACAATTCGAAGTGAATAACTAAAGGAGGATAATCTGAGAATGTCTTTATGGCGACAATGGATCGATAGATTTGAGAGGATGATTGACGGAGACAACTTGTATGGGATAGTAGATGGAAACAGCTTGACGAGAGACTTTGAAGACGGCAATTTAAAGGAGATGATTTGAAGACCGCCGTCTGAAGAATAATCTCAAAGACAATTTGATGGGCGCTCGGGGTGGAATTATTGCTGGTTTACTCATCTATTAGTCGTTGAACGTTTTAGGATTTCTCATCGAATTCAGGTTCATCCGACACTTCATCAATGATACCAATCTTCACTTCGATGCAAATTATATTATCTTTATCTCTTTTTTATCATAAACCCCATTGTTATAATGTCAGTTATTCTGATATGAAGTGGTTTTTGCAATCTACCCAGTTTCAATCTTCTTAAGATTAAGATTAAGGTTAAGAAAATAGTCTCCAGAAATGACACAAAGAAAACACTCCAAAGACACCAAAGACACCAAAGGCACCAAAGACACCAGACACTCAAGAAGACTCCAGACAGATATCCCACGCACCGCGCCTGGGTGCAGGAATTTGCACCCAGGGTGCGCACGTGACCCGCGGAACTGGATGCGCATCGCATCCACCAAACCAAAGGAAAAAAAAAACTCTCCACCGCCGCTCACAGATCCCCCCCGAATCTCGTGCACAAATCAGACATTCGACTCAGCCATGGATATCTCCCAGCCCGTCGGCTCCGAGGTCTCGTCGGTCGATTTCGGCGTGTTCTCCACCGCGGAGATCCGCAAGTTGTCGGCCAAGCAGATCACCAACCCGGTGGTTTTCGACACTTTGGGCCACACTGTGAACAACGGTCTCTACGACTTGGCGTTGGGCGCGTTTCTCAGAAACCTATGTACGACCTGCGGGCTCGACGAGCGCTTCTGCCCGGGCCACCAGGGCCACATCGAGTTGCCGGTGCCGGTGTACAACCCCTTGTTCTTCAACCAGATGTACTCGTTCTTGAGGGCATCGTGTCTCTACTGCCACCACCTCAAGTTGGGCGAGTTGGAGACACACGCGTTTGCGCAGAAGTTGCGCTTGATCCAGTACGGCTTGCTTTTGGAGGCGCAGCAGTTTGACGCCATGGTGGCCAAGGACTCGTCCAGCGACGACCTGGAGGGGGCGGGCGGCCCCGCGGCGCTAGACGCCGAGGCACGCGCCGCGTTGAAACACAAAAGAGACGTGTTTGTGGACTCGGCCGTCGGCGCCGCGTTGGCCGAGGGCCGCACCTCGCCGCACGGCTTGGTCACGGAGATTGTCGGCGAGGAGCGCAAGAACACCATCCACACGTTCTACGCGCGGATCCTCACGCGCCCCAAGTGCGAGCGTTGCGGCATGGTGTCGCCCACGTTCCGCAAGGACGGCTTTGTCAAGATCTTCGAGAACGCGTTGCGCGACAAGCAGGTGTCGGCCAACCGCATCAAGGGCATCATGCGCCCCGACATGCTTCGCCAGGCCAGCGCCAGCGCCGGCTCTGCGGGCGAGAACATCCCCAGCTTCAAGCCCGTGCAGGGCTCCAAGTACATCTTGTCCACGGAGGTGCGCAACATCTTGCGCGCCGTGTTCGCCAACGAGCAGGCCGTGATGCAGATGGTGTTCCACTCGCGGCCGCAGCTGACGGCGCCCGTATCCGCCGACATGTTCTTCATGCAGGCGTTGATCGTGCCGCCCACCCGCTTCCGCTTGCCGTCCAAGTTGGGCGACGAGATCCACGAGAACGCGCAGAACGAGCTCTTGCTGGCCGTGTTGAAGACGTCGCTCCTCATCAAGGACTTGAACGACCAGATCGCGGGCCACCTCGGCAAGCAGAAGGCGCTGGGCCTCGAGGAGCGCAAGCTCTTGTTCAACCGCTTGATGAACGCGTTCGTCACGATCCAGAACGACGTCAACGCGTTCATCGACTCCACGAAGAACCAGAACACCGCCGCGGGCAAGATCCCCATCCCGGGCATCAAGCAGGCCTTGGAGAAGAAGGAGGGCTTGTTCCGCAAGAACATGATGGGCAAGCGTGTCAACTACGCCGCGCGGTCCGTCATCTCCCCGGACCCCAACTTGGAGACCAACGAGATCGGCGTGCCGCCCGTGTTCGCCGTCAAGTTGACCTACCCGGAGCCCGTGACGGCCTACAACGTCAACGAGTTGAGGCAGGCCGTGATCAACGGGCCGGACAAGTGGCCGGGCGCCACCCAGGTGCAGAACGAGGACGGCTCCATGGTGTCCTTGCTCGGCATGACCGTGGAGCTGCGCAAGACCTTGGCCCAGCAGTTGTTGACGCCCTCGGGCGGCGCGTCCGTGGTCAACAAGAAGGTGTACCGCCACATCAAAAACAAGGACGTGGTGATCATGAACCGTCAGCCCACGTTGCACAAGGCCTCCATGATGGGCCACAAGGTGCGCGTGTTGCCCGGCGAGAAGACCTTGCGCTTGCACTACGCCAACACCGGTGCCTACAACGCTGATTTCGACGGCGACGAGATGAACATGCACTTCCCGCAGAACGAGAACGCCAAGGCAGAGGCCCTCAACTTGGCCAACACGGACTCGCAGTACTTGACGCCCACCTCCGGCGCGCCCTTGAGAGGCTTGATCCAGGACCACATCAGTGCCGGCGTCTGGTTGACCAGCAAGGACACGTTCTTCAACAGGGAAACATACCAGCAGTTGATCTACGGCTGCATCCGCCCGGAGGACGGCCACACCAACGGCGCCGCCAAGATCCTCACCGTGCCCCCCACCGTGTTCAAGCCCGAGCCCTTGTGGACGGGCAAGCAGATCATCACCACCATCTTGCTCAACATCAAGCCGCATGGCGTGGCCGGCGTCAACTTGGTCTCCAAGAACAAGGTCAAAAACGACTACTGGGGCAAGGGCTCCGAGGAGAACACAGTGCTCTTCAGAAACGGCGAGCTTTTGTGCGGCATTCTCGACAAGTCCCAGTACGGAGCCTCGCAGTACGGTATCGTGCACTCGTTGCACGAGGTGTACGGGCCAGACACCGCCAGCAAGGCGCTTTCCGTGTTGGGCCGGCTCTTCACCAACTACACCATGATGGCCGCGTTCACCTGTGGAATGGACGACTTGCGTTTGACCGCCGAGGGCAATGCCTGGAGAAACGAGATCTTGAAGCAGTCTGTCGACATCGGCAGGGCCGCTGCCTGCGAGGTGACCAACTTGGACACCGAGACCCCCAGCGGCAACAAGGAGTTGTTGAAGCGGTTGCAGGAGATCTTGAGAGACGACAACAAGTTGGGCATTTTGGACGCCATCACTCAGTCGAAGGTCAATTCCATCACGTCCCAGGTCGTCAACAAGTGTGTGCCCGACGGCACCATGAAGAGATTCCCATACAACAGTATGCAAGCCATGGCTCTTTCGGGAGCCAAGGGTTCCGGTGTCAACGTGTCGCAGATCATGTGTCTTTTGGGCCAGCAGGCTTTGGAGGGCAGAAGAGTGCCGGTTATGGTCAGCGGAAAGACGTTGCCCTCTTTCAAGCCCTTCGAGACCGACGCACGTGCTGGAGGCTACATCAAGGGCCGTTTCTACTCCGGTATTCGGCCACAGGAATACTACTTCCATTGTATGGCCGGTAGAGAAGGTTTGATCGATACCGCCGTCAAGACGTCCAGATCCGGATACTTGCAAAGATGTTTGACCAAGCAGTTGGAGGGAATCCACATTGCCTACGACAACTCGGTGAGAGACTGTGACGGGTCCATGATCCAGGTCCTCTATGGAGGTGACGCTGTGGACACCACGAAGGAGTCGCACATGACGCAGTTTAAGTTCTGTCTCGACAACTACGACGCCATGTTGAGCAAATACAACCCCGGGGAAATCACCGAGCACTTGGACACGCTGACGGCGTTGTCGTATAACAAGAAGGAGCGCAAGAGCTACAAGAAACAAGCTAAGTTGCCGCATTTCGAGCAGAATCCAAAGTACGATCCAGTGTTGTCCGTCTACAACCCATCAAAGTACTTGGGCTCGGTCTCGGAGAAGTTCCAGGACAAGCTCGATGACTTTGTCAAGGAAAACCCTGACATGTTCACCAAGCACCTGAGCGACGGAATCACAGAGAAGAAGTTCAGGGCGTTGATGCAGTTGAAGTACATGAGATCGTTGGTCAATCCCGGCGAGTCCGTTGGTATTGTGGCTGCACAATCCATTGGTGAGCCTTCCACGCAGATGACGTTGAACACATTCCACTTTGCTGGTCACGGTGCTGCGAATGTCACGTTGGGTATCCCCAGAATGAGAGAGATCATCATGACGGCGTCTGCTTCCATCAAGACGCCGCAAATGACCTTGCCTATTTTGCCTGACGTGACCGACGAGATGGCGGACTCCTTCTGTAAGTCTGTGGCCAAGGTCTGCTTCAGTGAGTTTATTGACAAGGTTACTGTTACTGAGAAGACTGGTGTTGTCAACGACACGCCCTACAGATCGTACAAGGTCAAGATGCGCTTCTTTAACAAGAAGGAGTACGAGGAAGAGTACGACATTTCGTCAACACAATTGCAGAGCGCGATCAGCAAGACTTTCTTGCGCAAGTTGGAGCTTGCCATCTCCAAGGAGCTCAAAAAGCAAACCAGATCCGACACGCTCCCTTCTATTGGTAAGGGCGTGCCTAAGACCCAGAAGGAAGCACCTGTCTCCAAGAACGTTCTGAAGGAGGAAGACTCGGACGATGAAGACGAGGATGACGTCAAAAATGAAGGCAACGGCAAGCAGCCAGTGTCATACGACGGTCCTGATGACGAGGAAGTCGAGAGCATGAGAAAGGCCGAGGAGACCTCTGACGAAGAAATGGAGGGCTCCGACTCTGGCAGCTCCGATTCTGACGAAGAATCCGACAGCTCAGAGGAAGACTCGGATGACGAGAATATGATCGATGACGAGGCCTGCGAATCAAAGAGGCCAGCCAAAACTTTGTCCAAGGCTGCCAAGGGCAGACAGGACGACGTGGTCTCGAACCATCACTTGATCAAGGCATACGACTTCGACGATGAGAACGGCGAGTGGTGTGAGTTTGAGGTCGAGCTTTTGGGCGACATCCAAAAGTTGTTGATGGTCAACATCATCGAGGACTTGTGCCGCGTGACCGTGGTCAGAGAAATCAAGAACATCGGTAGATGTGTGCGCCCACAAGCTGACGGCAGCGCCAAGTCCCTCACCACTGAGGGTGTCAACTTCAAGGCCATGTGGGAGCAAGACGATTTCATCGATGTCAATGGAATCCGCTCGAACGACATTAGTGCCGTGTTGAATACTTACGGTGTGGAGGCTGCGAGAAACACCATTGTCAATGAGGTCAGCAACGTTTTCTCCACATATGCTATCACAGTCTCGACTCGTCATTTGGACTTGATCGCCGACATGATGACCAGAGAAGGCACGTATCTCGCGTTCAACAGACAGGGCATTGACTCGTCCACGTCTGCTTTCAAGAAAATGTCGTACGAAACCACGTGTCAGTTTTTGACCAAGGCCGTGCTTGACGGTGACAGAGAGGACTTGGACTCGCCCTCGGCTAGAATTGTGTTGGGTAAGTTGAACGGTGTTGGCACTGGGTCGTTTGATGTCATGGCCAAGATGCAGAACGGCTGCTCTGAATGAACATCGGGACAGAGGTCCGCCACATGAAGCGGGATTGTACATATAGACTTGGCAACAAAACATTGAGTGAATCTACTTTTATTGAGTAACTATGCATGCTCATGCATTGTAGGCAGCAAGCAAGAACGTGGCCATGAACGAGAGCTTGAAGCTGGGTCTGTTGAAAAACAAGGTCTTCAAGTCCAACTTCTTGCCGCCTATGCTCAACACGGAAGTCCAAGGAATGGAGATGATGCCCCGGTTCTCCAAAAACTGCAAGAGCAAATAACTAGAAAGAGATAAGAATACAATGGCCGTCGAGAGCTTGCCAATGACGATCCCCAAAAAAAGCCCGGTGATGGACCCGATACTTAAGTCCGAATAGTCAAGCTTGCCGCCGAGACGAGAAGTCCGGATTTTGGCGTCTAGACCCTGTGGCGAATATTGACTTTGCGGCGACGACAAGGCCACAGCATCGTTGCGAATGTATGTGGCGGGCCTCAGCACAAGACCTGCGCCGAGAATAACAGGAACGACTTTCAAGGAGTTTTTGAGAAGGCCAGGCCTAATGAAGGTGGTGAACATGATTATAAAGGCGGAAATACGGCGGAAGCAATAGCAATCTGCAATTTCGTTGCACTTCAGACCCCACGTGAGCCACCGGGTCACGTGAGCCATGACCCACGTCACGTGCACCACCGGGTACGGTCACGTGATCCGGGATCTCTGTTGCTGTGCGCGGCGCGGGTCCGATCCGACGCCTGTCGCGCCGGAGTGCACACAGGGCGTACCAACGTGCACACCCACGGCAATCGCCCGCCTGCATACACGCAGCGGTTTTCTCGTCCCCAATGCGGCACTGCTGGAAGGCTCTGATTTCTGCGCCTGTATTTTGCAGGCTAGGATATAAGATGGCCCCGGTTCCCACCCCCGGTGCCAAAAAGGCTATCCAGCTGTTCAACACAGGTAAGTGGGGTATCGATTTTCTGCTTTTTTTTCTTTGTTGTCTGGGCTATCTCGACCTTGAAAAATCCTCTCGTTCCTGACGGAATCTTTCAGTTTGCATCTATTCTCACGTCTCATTATTATTCTCACGTCTCGTTATTTTCCGGTCGCCCTAGGCTGCTCGCCCCATAGTTAAGCATTGGCGAGGACGCGGTAGAACGTCTCGCAGCAGAGCCAGATTAGCTAATAATCGGATATTCACACTGACGAATAATCGAATATCCCACGGAATTAAATCGGCTTGCCCCCGAAATAAATATCCCGACTTCAGCATACCGTTTCTGGTGGGCACAGTTGCGTGGTATTGGCAGAATTGGGATTTTGCACCTGCTGCAAAGACACGAACTTATGGTGGTGGCAAACAATGATAGGCAGGCCATCAATTTGGCCCCCGGGGTCGTGCTAGCAGGGCACGCCTCCATGCTCGACACGGCAATTATGAGCGACGTGAAAGTCGTAGTCAATTGTGGATCGACCTCGAATTTCCTCCGGTTTCTCGACGAGTATCAGCCCGTGGTGTCATCTGACATAATAGTGCTCAACTTGGACCCGTATGCGTCATCAGCAGACCCGCCATATATGGACTTCCACTCTCGGTTCAACCGTGTGCTTCAGAATTACTTGGCGTTTTTTTATAGCTACAACAAGGACGTGCAGTTTTTCATCAACTCCAACTACGAAAACAGCAAGCTCTCCTTGGACTCGCCCACGATGAACGGCGTGCCGCTTCGCCTGTTGTTCAACATCAACAGGTTGTTGAAGCTCATCAAAAACGTGAACGGCACTGCGGGATTCTTGTTTGTGTCGGGCCACTTCGGACTGCTGCACCACTCCAACGCCCTTTTGTATGCGTTGGCAATGCTGTACTTGATGGACAACTACAACTACAATTTCGAGGCCAGCTACAGATTCTTGCAGTCGCTCCTTCCGCCGCCGGGAGGAGCAAGCGCCACCCCGTCGCTCTTTCCTGTTGCGCCGGATCTATTCAATCCAAACCACTACGACGACGTGTTGCTCATCGACAGCCTCAAGAAGTTCTATGTGGAGAACGGAAAAATCAAGCAGTCTGAAAGCGGGGTCATGACGAGAAATTTCAAGTTGAAGCGGTCGATCGAAAGCCTCGACTCAGTGTCTACCATGCGGCCAGTTAAACGAATGGCATGATCCGGGGCGCAACTTCAGCCATCAGGAAAGCCGGAGAACATAAATAGAACTAGTCAGAAGAAAAACAAAGAATGTCATGGATTCATATCGCCCTCACGGCAGCCTATAGTACATCTATTTTTCGGGAATGGACAACCCCACCATGTTGGCGGTTTTCCGAACGTTGTCGCCCTGGCTCATTGTCAAGCCGGGATTGTATCTTTCAAGAAGCTCGTTGTAAACCCTTTGATTCTTCAAGTAGGCTGTCACATTCTGCAAGTTATGGAGGTCTTCCTTGGAGTCTAGAAGGTTCCTCACCTTGGAGCTGTCTAGAGGAGGAATTTCGGCCTTCCCCGATTCAAGAGCATCGAGCTGAGCCTGTACTTTCTCCGCCGACTGACGGGAGCGAATCAACTGCATTTTGTCGTACGTCAACCTCGCCTTGTTCTTTTCGAAGTCTTTCTTCCAGCGGTGCAAGTGCACTTTTTTGTGAGCAGTTAGAAGCTCTTTTTGCAACTCTTTGTACAAGGCCTTGAACATTCCACGTGTGTGTATACGAGGGCTATTTCCCAGATACGAGCCTCTACTAATTTCCTTGTGAAGCACTGAAGATCAGAATGGCCGGAGCGAAGTATTTTCCGCGCACGTGACCGGAAATGCGGACTGGGTGGTTTCCAGATCGGAGCGCGGAGTCTGGGCGTGCCAAGAGTAGACGTCTGATTACTTCTATCCATGGCTTTTTCTTTGGAGGTCCATGAGGGTAAAATTTGCTTTTTGCTCTTCTAGCCTTGGCCTGAGAGCCATGTGATATATAAAACTGAACCTGAGTATTGTCACGACCAGCGTAGTACCCGTCGCCTGCGCTTTCATAAAGCGCCAGACGGATAGAGCCGCACTAATATTCCTGATATCAGATGTTTGGTTTACAGTGGCCATTCACGTGACCGGTCCTCAAGAGGTCTCCACCTGTCACGCTTGTTTGGCCATATCCGGGGCATGCAGTCGGCGGCCAATCTCCGGCTCTCAATTGACAGGTGCTATTTAGTGCACTCCTTCCCGCGGACCAAAACTCCGGCGAGTCCGTGCTCACTCCAGTGCCCTCTGCAGGTTGCTGGCCAATAGCATCGAGTTTCGGCTCCGAAGAATCAGGTGCGAATTTTTCCATCCTAGCAAAACCATAGAAATTGCACTGGTCGCACAGCTCCTCTTCTTTTCTCAGCTTGGATCACTCTTACTCCATTACACAATGTTCAGATCAGCAGCCAAAAACGTATGTGAAATACCCCACGGACCATGGAGAGCATCATAGCTCACAGTCCCGATTCGATTTTTGTCATGCCCAAATGCCAGATATATGTATGTTCTCAGCTGAGGACCGACTTTTGTGCTTTACTTGATCCACCACTGGTGGACATACCCCAAGGACATAAACATGCTGTGAGTTGGCCAGTGCTTTGGAAACGGTAAAGTGGAAGATTTGCGTGGACGAGCTTACTGAAGCTGTCAGTGATTCAATTGGACGAATTGCCCATGACTGACCGCGATGACTATCGTCTCCTCTTATATCCATCTGCACCAGCAGAGGCAAAAATAATAAACCATATTGAGATCGTCTCGTTGAAGATCAAGGAAACGCCATCATATGTTCAGCTTTCTGGACTGCACGGTTCTCACGGGCTTTTGGAATGCGACACTCGACACCCCAAAAACAATACTAACTCGAGCAGGTTCGTACTCTTGCTACCGCTGCCTCCCCCGAGGCCGTCTTGCCAAAGAAGTACGGTGGTAGATACACCGTCACTTTGATTCCAGGTGACGGTATTGGTAAGGAGATCACCGACTCTGTCCAAACCATCTTCAAGGACCAGAATGTCCCAATCGACTGGGAGGTCGTTGATGTCTCTGGCTTGGGCGAGGACTCCCAAGGTGTCACCGAGGCCGTCAACTCTTTGAAGAGAAACAAGGTTGGTTTGAAGGGTATTTTGTACACCCCCACCAACACCCACGGCAAGTCCTTGAATGTCGCCTTGAGAAAGGAGTTGGACATCTACGCCTCTTTGGTTTTGATCAAGAACATCCCAGGTGTCAAGTCCAGATTGGACGGCATTGACTTTGCTTTGGTCAGAGAGAACACCGAGGGTGAGTACTCTGGTTTGGAGCACCTGTCTTTCCCAGGTGTCGTGGAGTCGTTGAAGATCATGACCAGATTCAAGTCCGAGAGAATCGCCAAGTTTGCTTTCGACTTTGCCAAGAAGAACAACAGAAAGTTGGTCACTGCCATCCACAAGGCCAACATCATGAAGTTGGGTGATGGTTTGTTCAGAACCACCGTCAAGGATGTTGCCCAAGACTACCCAGGCATCGAGGTCAGCGACTTGATTGTCGACAACGCCTCCATGCAGGCCGTCGCCAAGCCAGAGCAATTCGACGTTTTGGTGACCCCCAACTTGTACGGTTCTATTCTCTCCAACATCGGTGCTGCTTTGGTCGGTGGCCCAGGCTTGGTCCCCGGTGCCAACTTCGGTAGAGAGCATGCTGTCTTCGAGCCAGGTTGCAGACACGTTGGCTTGGACATCAAGGGCCAAAACACCGCCAACCCAACTGCCATGATCTTGTCCGCCTCTATGATGTTGAGACACTTGGGCTTGAACAGCCACGCCGACAACATCTCCAAGGCCACTTACGACGTCATTGCCGAGGGTAACGTCAGAACCAAGGACATTGGCGGTACCTCCTCCACCACCGAGTTCACCAACGCTATCTTGACCAAGTTGAACGCTTAAGTTGAAAACAGAACCTTTAATCATTCATAACATAGATAGCAATACATTCCGATAAGATAGACTATGGTCTCGAGTTGCTCCGATCACATTTGAGGCGGTAGCTGTCTGAAAGTATTGATGAAATAGACTAATAAGCAACATGACAGACAGTACACTCAACATCAAAACTTGAGGTGTGAGAAGTGAATCAGTTTGAACCAGACTAGAAAAATAAAAAGAATTGATTTCGCCCAGGATCGAACTGGGGACGTTCTGCGTGTTAAGCAGATGCCATAACCAACTAGACCACGAAACCAATTTATGAATTTCTGTTATGATACGACATGATCAAGATTATAGATTCTGGGCATCCTGTATAATACGAAGGACGAAGAGTCTAAACATTCCTGATCGGGGTTACCCCTCACCTACTGTATAGAAGGGTTCCGAACTATAAAGGAGCGTGAGGCTGAGACATCCCTGAAGAAGGATAACACTTTTTAGACATCGAGAATACGACAGATAGACTAGGCCTATCCACTAAGGCTGAACTATCTATAAACCGATCTACTCGTAGTTTAAGAGACAGCTCCAGGCTGTTTCATAATAATTTCGTGGGTGGTGGAGACAATAACAAGACGTAAAACACAAAATCCTTGCATGCCTCGGTTACAATCAGTTTAGTAGATCGGGTACATCTTGGTCCATGCAAACAGGAGCTTCCTGAACCGTTTAAGTGCATTTACGAGGGGTTTGAGGAGCCTAGGGGGCTTGTACTGCGCCGCTGCACAGAGGTTATTGTATATGATTGTTTTATGAAACTGTTTTCTTTATTAGATGGATCCACCAAAGAGAGAGGCTTTGTATCCAAGGTATCATATATATATTGGTTCTGATAGATTCAGCGATCTCGTCTCAATGATCAAGCTAAATAATTTCATAAGTCTTGCTTTGTTTGTTTATAAGATACGTTCGCTTTTTTCTACCTTATGCGAAAATATAGAAAGAGGGAAGTTATTTTGGTGATTTAGATTGACCTGTAGCTGAAGGACACTATTTTATTGTATTTTTGCTTGAAAAGATGAGTCGACAAGGCTGAAAAGTCTAGGTAAATTTGAATAGCAATTCCGAATTTCATGTGAATTTCAAACATCTTTCTGCCTTCTCATTTCCTTTAGGTTTTATTAAATGCTCGGTTTCTTAATAGTCCGGATAGAAGCAAAAAAAATTGATCACTTCTGCACAAGCTCGAGAAGAATGTTAGATCTTTGGGGATTTTCAAACTTTGTAATAATGTATTCAAAGGATATGTTTTGATATATTCGGTGAGCATATTTGGTTGTGAACAGAGACGTAAACTTTTGGGGCAGTCTTCTGGATTAGTACATCAAAAATTTCGAATTCTTCGTGTCTTGCTAGGAATTTTATGGTTATTGTCTTTTTTTTAGAGAAACTTCATAATATTGAGTATCACTGGAGGGATACGAAATGGTAAATCTTATTGTATAGCGTGTCATCTTCATGCAAGGACAATGTTAATCTTCTCTGTATTGTTAAAATTGAAAGATGTACCATCGTGAATGATGATAATAGTTTAACTCGAGATTGTTCCACGCGTCAGGCATGTAAAACCCGTAAACATGTGTCACGTTTACGAGCATGTATGAGGTCTATCGATGTTCAGGAGTCAAACAACAGCTATGTTGATTTACTTGGGATAGAGACAGGCAAGCGACAGACATAATCTAGAGGTAATCTATTGATGGCTGAAATGAATACGGCGAATTAACTTAATCCAGAGTATTAAGGGAGAGAAATGCACTGCATTTCTAGGCTTGCATGAGATCAATATAATGTCCTATTTTCGTGAATAATATGCTTCGGTGTTTCAAGCATGTGCAAAATTTCAAGTCTCGAAGCATCCGAAGTAACAATAATCGAACGTGCTTGAAGATCAAGTTTTCTAATGTATGGCGATCTGGAGAAATCAAAAGTGAACAAAGGCTAATTGGGGCGATAAACCAACGACCTTTCAGTATGAGCAAATGGACATAATTGGTTTAGAGTTCCATTGTTGTGTCGTTGAAGAAACAAAAGGCATTGGACTTGCTTTGTAATGTCTTGTTATGGGAAACTAGTATCTATATGGTCAATAGAACCTCGTAATTATCAAAAAAGTAAAACGAAATATGAGTTTTACCGGGATTGCCGCTTTTCCTGAACTTTGACTAGCCCAGTGAGCTTTCCTTGTAAAATTGTTTCGTGTTCCAAGGTTGTGCAAATACATAAACCAAGACCAGTCTGATGCAAATATTTGGGGAGAGCAGAAAGTTTGGGGATACGGCCGAGCAAAGAGTTGTTGAATTTCTTAATTCGAAGTAAAAAAGGACGCAAAAAATTGCAATTTGGATAGATGAGTGATGCGCATGTATGATGCTCCTCTTCACGTACTTGCGTATACCTCGTAGATCACGTCGAATTTGCCTTTTTCCATGTAAATCATTTGATTGGGACCTCCTGCTTAAAATTCCCGGTTGAAAAATCCATTTAAAAAATTCACTAAATGTATTTTTTGCAGTAGAGACTTCAAACGGTCCGGGAGCAATTTTGCATTTGTTATCTTCAGTGCCCGATTTATCTCACTCGAACGCTGGCCATGCGCAAGAGGATAAAGAGGTCGTTCCCATTGTACACCTCTTACTAGAATTAAGTTTTGATAATTCAGAATCTCTCCTTCTTTTGAGTATCAAATTAGCAAGGACGACTTGCTTTTTTTTAACTGTATTTACAAGATTTTGCTGACGGAAACGAAAAAACCCAATACCATCAGCTATACCGTGCATCCGAGATCCGGATACTATAAAGGGCCCAGAAAACGAGCATTTGCCTTACATTTTCTCAGTCTGCCGATTTTTCTTCCATCGAAATATATTAGATTGGCGATTTTGAGTGGAACAGGCCGTCTGTCGCGGCATCAGCAATCTTATGTCGACCGGGCAGAGCCTCGATGAAGCGACGTTTCCCTTATCGTTCTTGAAAATAATCAAACTAAACAACGCTGACTCTAATTTCTGCCATAATTATTGTAAATTTTTTCAAAGCCATTGTCTCCTAGAAGTGGGCTACTGCAATTTGAGGAATTAGTATTGAAAAATTCTGCTCTCTATGCAATGCTCATCTGGGACACTGTTTAAGCCTGTTCACTGTAAATAGACTGGGCGACAGAGCACAGTGCAGCTGGAGTATCGCCAAAAACCGCTGGTAAGATAATCCAAGGCCGAGATGTCCTATCAACCAATGCGCTCTCCGCAAAAAAAAAAAATGATAAAAAAAAACAAAAAAAAATAAATGCGGGATTTCTCCAGTCTATTAATTTGGACCGAGTCATGTCAGTAGAAACCACCACAACCGATCCAGCAACAACCAGCATCATGGTACGGCTCTAATATCCACGAAATGATGCTCTCGTACAGCAACAGAAGACAAAAAAGAGCTGGTTCGAAATTCACGTTGGTTTTTCTCCTCGTGGACAGTCCAGCGCCCTGCCCCGAGTCATAGTGCCCGCTTTATCTGCAGGCACAACGCCGCGGAAATCTATATAAGGCGTACGCACACCCGCGGACTTCGTCCTGGGTTTTTTCGGTTTGGTTTAACGGTATCCGTTCATTCCTTTGCTGTATTCAAAGGTCTTATTAAGTAAGCCAGTTTTCCACGCTCGATCCGCACACTGCTCCTGCTGTTGCGCTTTTTCTGAACTGCAAATTTTACCACAAGTATCATGTGTGACGTTGTTTTGGGATGCCAATGGGGAGACGAAGGCAAGGGTAAATTGGTGGACATTTTGTGTGAGGACATCGATGTTTGTGCACGTTGCCAGGGCGGCAACAACGCGGGCCACACGATTGTGGTGGGCGACGTGAAGTACGATTTCCACATGCTTCCCTCCGGATTGGTGAACCCAAACTGCTTGAACTTGGTGGGCTCCGGCGTGGTGATCCACGTGCCTTCGTTGTTCGAGGAGTTGGAGAACTTGGAGAAGAAGGGCTTGCACTGCAGAGACCGCTTGTTCATCTCGTCCAGAGCCCACTTGGTGTTTGACTTCCACCAGAGAACAGACAAATTGAAGGAGGCCGAGCTTTCGGAGAACAAGAAATCCATCGGCACCACGGGCAAGGGCATTGGCCCCACGTACTCGACGAAAGCGTCCAGATCCGGGATCAGAGTGCACCATTTGGTGTCCGAGGAGCCCGAGTCGTGGGAGGAATTCAAGCTCAGATACGAGCGTCTTATAGAGTCGCGTTACAAGAGATACGGCGAGTTTGATTACGACTCCAAGGCCGAGTTGGCGCGGTACGAAAAGTACCGCGAGCTCTTGCGCCCCTTTGTCGTGGACTCGGTCGACTTCATGCACAAGGCCATTGCCGAGAACAAGAAGATTTTGGTTGAGGGTGCCAACGCGTTGATGTTGGACTTGGACTTCGGCACGTACCCTTACGTGACGTCGTCGGCCACAGGCATTGGCGGCGTGTTGACCGGCTTGGGTGTCCCGCCCAGAACCGTGAAGAACGTGTACGGTGTGGTCAAGGCCTACACGACTCGAGTCGGCGAGGGGCCATTTCCCTCTGAGCAGTTGAACGCCAACGGAGAGACGTTACAGACCGTCGGTGCCGAGTACGGCGTCACCACCGGCAGAAAGAGAAGATGCGGCTGGTTGGACTTGGTGGTGTTGAAGTACTCCAACGCCATCAACGGCTACACGCACTTGAACATCACCAAGTTGGACGTGTTGGACTCCTTCAAGGAGATCCAGGTCGCCGTGGCCTACCACTACAACGGGAAGAAGTTGTCCTCGTTCCCCGAGGACTTGAATGTGTTGGCCAAGGTGGAGGTGGAGTACGTCACCTTGCCCGGCTGGGAGCAGGACATCTCGAAGATCACCGAGTACAGCGCGTTGCCCGAGAACGCCCAGAAGTACTTGGACTACATCGAGAACTTCTTGTCCGTGCCCGTCAAGTGGGTTGGCGTGGGCCCCGCCCGTGAGTCCATGTTGGTGAAGCCATGAGCCGTGGGGCACGTGTCTGGGGGAGGTTTGGGCCAGTGACCGAGGCTGGCCGGGTAGGAGATCAGGGGCTTGCTTCCAGGGCACTAGCAATGTATTAATACAAGATATTTTGGCGTGGCGTCCGTAGTTGGGAAGTAGGTGTGGGTCGCAATCGCTAGAGATGCCGGCCGGCTTTGAAGGACTTGATGCAAAACAGGTCAAGGAGTTGGTATTTGGAGAGGTGGCGATGGCTATTTCTACGTTACATCGAGCTTTTGCGCGAGGTTGCACGGGGGACTATTGATATTGCTGGGAAGAGGCCATGTCCTCGGGATCCTGACTGGCACTGGGATTAATTCATTTCCTGTCTTGAGCAACGATGTAGGAGACAGTCTGATAGAGTAGGCTTGCTTCTATTCCAGCAACTTAATAGGATGCAAGATTGAGAGGAGGAATCATCTGATTCTGGAATAAAGAGTAAAGAAGGACGCCCAAAAACAACAGTGACTCTCATGGAGTCACCGTCGTATTGGAGCTCTGAGAAGCCGGGAAAACGACCGAGAATGATCAACTCTTGCAAAGTCCTCGCCAATTTATCATAGGCAACAGCCGCGAAAAACGAGCCAGGTGATCATAAAAAGGCGCGCGTGGAATAGTCGGCACCAGCTGGAGAGTCACTTGCGTACCGACCAAGCCCACGGAAACATGAGCTTGCATTTTCCAAAATGACCAGGAATTCAGCCTAGATGTCATTGTAGCGGCCGATTCAAAAAAAGAAAAAGAAAAAAAAAAAAGAAAAAAAAAAAGAAAAAAAAAAACAAGATCTGTGACGGGCTGAAGTATGGCGTGGCCCAAATTCGCTGCTCTCTTCTCCACCTTTTCGTGCTATTAGCAAAACGTGGGCAGGCAGGGCGACGGGCAACTGAACTGGCCGCGTCCTGCAGGCGCCGCAGGCCCATATTGCACCAGGCCTGAGAAGCGATTTATTATCTACTCCATTCTTCTCACCCTTCAACACCAGAAATATCTTGTTTCTGGACGGCGGCAAATGAAGAGCGATTCCGGCATGGCGAAAACGCCCCCTGCCGGCGAAAAGCCTCCGGCCCCGGCTCCACAGTTGCAGCCCGGCGGCTCGCCATGGCAAGCTTTGTTGGGGGTGTTTCTAACGGTCTGCAACGTCGCCGTGCGCGTCTACTGCGGGCTCTATATGATCATTTCCGACTGTGACGAGACTTACAACTACTGGGAGCCCTTGAACTTGGTGTTCCGGGGCTTCGGCAAGCAGACCTGGGAATACTCCCCGGCCTACGCCATCCGCTCATACGCGTACTTGATTCCGTACTACTTGGCCACGGCGCCGCTCCGTGATTTGCAGTCGCTATTGCAGGCACGCTTCCCGGCGTACTACTACTTCTACGCCATTCGCGTCGTTGCGTTGGGCGGCTTCACGGCGTTTGCCGAGCACAGGCTCCACCGGTCCGTGAAAACCAACTACGGCCTGCATGCCGCCAACTGGTACCTCTTGTTCTCGACGTTTGCGCCGGGCATGAGCCACGCCAGCGTGGCGCTTCTCCCCTCGGCGTTTGCCATGACCTGGGTCACGTGGGGCTCGGCCTCGGCCATATCGGCCGTGTCGTTGCGCAATGACGATTCCATTGTGCGGCCTTCGATCCATGCCCTTGGCTGCTACATGGTGGCCGGGCTTTTGGGCTGGCCGTTCGCCTTGGCCTTGGCCGTGCCGTTTGGTCTTTTCACCATGCAGGCGCGCTACCAGACACCGCCGCTCGTGAAGATCGTGCCCGCGTGCCTTGCCGTTTTGGTGGCGCTCATGGCGGTGCTTCTCGTGGTGGACTCGTACTTCTACGCACGCCCGTTTCTCTTTGTGCCCATAAACATCGTGTTGTACAACGTGTTTGCGCTCGAGGGCGAGGGCCCGGCCATCTTCGGCGTGGAGCCGTTGTCGTACTATGTGAAGAACTTGCTCTTGAACTTCAACGCGGTGTTTGTGCTCGGGTGCATGGGCGCAGCCGTGAACGTGGTGTGGGGCGGGCAGAGGCTCCAGTCCGCGTTTGGCGTCTCGTTGCCCTTGGTCATTTGGTGTGGTGTGTTCGGCCGCCAGGCCCACAAGGAGGAGCGGTTCTTGTACCCGGTCTACCCGATGCTCTGCCTTTCGGCCGCCATATTCACGTCCAAGGTCTTCGCCGCGGCCCGGCTGAAGGCCGGCGCCCGCGCGCTTGTGAGGCTAGCCCTGGTGCTCTCCATGGCGGCGTACGCCACTGTTTCCGTGTTGAGGATCTTGAACTTGGTGGCCAACTACAGCGCGCCGCTTTCGACAGCCTTGGCCTTGCACGAGGACGCCGTCCAGCACCCCTCCGAGGGCTTGAAGAATGTCTGCGTGGGCCGGGAATGGTACCACTTCCCGACGTCGTTTTTCCTTCCGGACAACTACAGACTACGGTTCGTGGAGAGCGGCTTCGACGGGCTTCTTCCCGGGGACTTCCCGGAACACGTGAGCTTGAGATCTGCGGCGTCCGTGTACCCCTCGGGAATGAATGCCCGGAACGAGTTCTCCGCTGACAAGGTGGTCCCGTTTGCAGACTGCGACTACTACATCGACAACTCCTTGGATACCACGGCCGGCGAGCCGAGCGTGCTTTCCGCCGCCGGCAGCGAGCTCACGGTGCACAAGCAATGGCAGGTGCTCCGCTGCGAGAAGATCATCAAGCCCGACGGGGCCCACCGCGGGGTGGGCCGCCTTGTGTATGTGCCCGAGGTGGCGCGGCGGGTGGTGCCCTACAACGTGGAGCAGATGGACTACTGTGTGCTCAAGAGGAAGTAAAGGAAAACGCGGCCCAAATGGCGGCCCGAAGCAGGGGTATCGGTGCATGTATTGTACATATACCACAACAAGACAGGCGTGCCCATACGCACCAGGCTTGCGTCTCACAAGTCATCGTCAAAGTATTCGTCGAGGGCCTTCTTGGACTTGAGAAAGCCGTCCTGGGCCTCGTGCATGGCGTCCTCGATTAGCCGTATCCAGAACGCCTCGCTGGTCTCGTCGTCGCCAGCCGCAGACCCGGCCTGGCTGGGTGGCAACTTGACATTGTCGAAGTTGTGTCTATGGCCATAGTTCTGGATCCGCTCGCATTGCTCGGCGATGGACGTCAAGCCCAACGCGGCGGCCGAGCCCTTCAAGTAGTGGCCCAAGGACAGCAACTTGTCTAGGTTTTCCTGCTGGACATTCTCGTCAATCTCCTTGAACGTGTCTTCGAACTGGTCCACGAACGTCTGGAACAAGCCTTTGGAGAAGCCCTCCTCGTCCTCGTCCATGGCGACTAGTTCCGAGAACACGGGCCAGTCCACGAGCCCGCTCTTTTGTAAAGTTTCGCTCTTGGCGTCTGACATTTGGTGTGATGCAGTGGGTTTGTGGCCGGCAGGCGCTGTTTTCCTGCTGCCTTGCGGACCGTTTTTTTGTTTCTTGGGCGCCGGGGCTGGAGCAGCGGTAGATCTGGGTTTTGGATCTCAGCTATTTCCCGGACCGGAACAAGCAGTCACAGCGTCGGTTGGTTTTTTCTTCCTGGGCCAAAGAGGCAATTGGTCGAGGAGCCTAAGGGGGTCTGGATCGAGGGGCCTAGAGAGGGGCCGGCGGGACAGACACTAAGAAAGCTAAAGGGGCAGATATGGGGGTCTGGCGAAAAACAGCGAAAGTGATGGGGGTAGAGGGCCGAGCACTGGGGTTTGGCCCTGTGGCCCGAACGAGCGATTGCGAGGCACGGCTTGGGTGCTCACGTGAGGGGCGCCGCAAGGTTATTACTGCAACAAAGGGCCGGTGTTTTTCCGTGCACACGCCAGAACCGGGCACATTCGCAGAGGAATCCGGGCCGGCGAGCCAGGAAGCAGAGGCCTGTCCCCAAAAAAAATCGGGGTTTTGCCCCTGTGTCGGTTTTCCAGCCGGTCCTGGTTTCGGTAAGCTGGTCCCCGTTCGCCGTGGCTCAGGGCCAGCCCTGGCAGGCGCGGTTTTTTTTTCGCGGGCTTGCTAATTTTCTCGGGCCCAGCGATGATGTCAGGGCCCCGCGCGCATCAGGCACTTCGGCTATGAGGCCGCGGGCCAGACTTCGGGCGCGCCGGTCTGGGGCTGGGCCCAATTTGCCGGCCCTACGTCGTCATGGGTGCGGAGCGACTGCAAAATCCGCCGATTTTTCATGGCCACGGGCAGGGCTCCAAATCACGTCCGTTTTTGGGCGGACGCACATGACTTGGAACAAACGACTCCGCGTCATTCGGCTGGCGTGCTGGTCACTGGAATGGCCTCCTGGAGTATGGGGGTCCATGTATGGCTAGCCTACGGCTGTGCCCTGGGATGGAGGGGCCTAGACGGGAGTGCAAGCGAGACAAATCCATATCCCATTGTTGCATTTGCTCCGGGCCTCAGCCCCCGGGCACAAACAGGTGCGTTCTGGCGGCCTGCATTGTTCCTCCAGCCTGCCCGTCTAATTATCGATACTTGGATCAACGGCGTGGGGCGCTCGACATTTGATTAGAAGAATCTCGCCCGCGAAACACGGGCTCACTAATATTCAGGGGACGTTGGGCGGGGTGGGCGGTCCCCTGGCGCAGTCTGACTGGCTGGCCGACACAGCACCATCTGATTCTAGTGATCGTGCATGGGCAAGAGATATACCGGACTCCACGGCCGGCCCTGGAGATCACCTCGTTCGGTCTTCATTTTCTCCCAGTGAACGGAGTTGCCGCACGCACGAGCGGACATCCAAAAGCGCTTGTATACTGGAACGCCGTACGAATATCCAGTATCATTGGTGCTCGTAGGTCAGTCCAGATACGCCGCTACGATCCCATGCTAATCACCAATCATGAACTCCCCATCCACGACACGCGGACTGGCGTTCGCAACCATCGAGAGCTTGAATCTGCTGTTTCATCAGAAGAGAATGGGGACGTCTTGCTTTTCTTGGTGAGCTGAGCCATTGTTTGGGGATTTTAGTTGCGATGCAGCTCACCGGAATCGATTTGTGAAGCCAAGATTTCCGTCGGTTCAGCTACTTGAAACAGGATCCGGGTTCTGCCCATTTTCCTCTGATTTATGGGAATATATTGGAGGCGACACATGTCGAAGAGACTCAGCAGAATATGCAACGAGACTCAGCAGAATACGCAACGAGACTCAGCAGAATGTGCAACGTTGACGGGGTTCGAGCAGGTTCCTATGCCCTGTTTATTTTTATCTGAGACTGAAACGTTCAGTAGGCCCAAGCTTGAACAGACGCTTTTCAATCATTATTGTCTTTTTCGTCTTTTGAACATGGTAGAAGCTATATATCCGAGTTTTCCATGAAGCCTGCGAATGACAAGAAGGTCTCAAACTCAGAATACCGAGAAAAACTTCACACCAAGAGATTGAAACATTCACCGTGGACATATTAACAATCGTGGACGGACTTCGTTTTCGGCTGTAACCAGCCCACTGAAAAAGCGTTTACAAGATCACCCGAGGACTGAATTTTCATGGGTGAAGTGCCGAAAGTTCTTTAGAGTTGGCCTAATGCAACTGCCTACAGACATTCCACCGTCGTCCTACGGGAACATATTGTCCCAGAGATTGGGGAAGAAACCGGCCCCCTGACCCGATTCAAAATGTAGAAGTACAGCCGTGGCATTCAGAAAAAGGCTTGTACTCAATCTCTACTGGGTATGGGGTTTCAAGAAACAGTTAATGGTGAACAACAAATCGGGTGGAACATGGACAGCCAATACTGCTACGTGCGTCGCCTTCAGTTGATAATATACGTATTTGATCTGAAGTTGCACTAGCCACGATAAGAGGAAAGAAGCAGGAGATCGCTGCCGAATATAGTTGTGAGTTAATGACTGCTTGGCCTGCTTCATTCTTTTGGCCACTTCCATTTATTGGCGGAAGCTCCGAGGGGAGATTGTTTCACCTTTTTCAACCAAATCATATGAGCACAGCAATCGGTATTCATACATTGAAATCGGCGCATGCTTGGATAATTGTGCCAAATCTACATGAGGATGTTGCTCTGCGACGCATGCATCGTCCAGCGACTCGACCAGAAGTGTTTTCGCCACGGCCGCGAGTCCATGAAGAATATGGAAAAAGAAATACCCCATGTTCTCATATTCCAGCCGAACAAGCATGGAAATTAAGGAAACGGGGCACCATATCCACAGTCCTGTGACTGCCAACACTATCATGCTGCTTGAAACTAACGGGTTTCTTTTGGAAAAGACAATGTTTTGTTTGCTGGTGAGTGAACTACATGAAAAGTCCAACGGAAACCATAAATATCGATAGTGATGCGCTCTTCAGGTCATGCACAATGTGCCTGAGGTTCTTGGAAGGCGGAACTTGGTGTCAGACTCTATATCTGTATGGCCCCGATCGATAGTCTATAGTCTATATCTGTATGGCCCCGACCAATAGTCGATAGTCTATATCTGTATGGCCCGATCCATAGTCTATAGTCTATATCTGTATGGCCCCCGATCCATAGTCTATAGTCTATATCTGTATGGCCCCCGATCAATAGTCTATAGTCTATATCTGTATACCCCGGGAAGCGATTCAGCGCGTGAGCTCAAACAAGTCGCCCAACTTCTCGGCAAAGTAGGTGGGCGCCTCGGCGGGGTCCAACTTCTCCACCGCGTCCTGGGTCTCGATCCCCGTCAACACTAGCAAGGTGTCGAGGCCGCCGTCGCGGCCGAATTTCATGTCCGTGTTCAAGCGGTCGCCCACCATGAGCCCTCGTTTCGGGTTCTCCTTGAGCCCCGGGCGGTCGGCCAAGATGGACTGCATCATGGACTGGTTGGGCTTGCCGCAGATGGCATCCGGGCTGCGGCCGCTGGCATAGCTCACGGTCTCGACAATGGAGCCTGCGCCAATCAAAAGCTTGCCCTTCAGCGGGAAGGTCAGGTCGATGTTGGTGGCCACAAACGGCACCAGCTTGCCGTCCTTCAAGAGGTACTGCATGGTGACCGAGAGCTTCAAGTAGTTGATGTTGGTGGTCAAGCCGGCCACCACGCAGCCCACGGCCGGGTCCAAGTCCGTGAGCAAGCGGTGGTTGGGGTCGAACGCCACGCCGTTCTCGACCAACGCCGGGTCCGTGCCGCCGAGCGTCTGGTAGCCCATTTCGTGCAACTCGGACTCGATGCCGGACTCGCCGAGCACCCATACTTTCTTGTCTTTGGGAAGCCGCAAGATCTTGTCGACGTACACGGCCAGGGCGTACGACGAGCCAAAGACCTCCGATTTCTGGATGCCCGGGATTCCGAGCAGCTCGAACTTGCGGAGGTAGTCCTCGCGGGCCTTGGTCAGGTTGTTGGTGACGAATATGACCGCCTTGCCCATCTTCTTCAAGAGCGCAAGGGTCTCGGCGACCGAGGGCAAGAGATGGTCGCCGAGCCAGATGACGCCGTCGCAGTCAAAGAGAAAATAGTCGTAGTTGGCGAGCAACGCGCGCGCCTGCTGCGGCGTGGTGATTTTCAGCGACATCGGCGTGTTTTTGGATGTGTTGGAGGAGGGGGGCTGGGGCTCGAGTTGGTGGGTGCTGGGGCCCAGCGGCGCCAGGGCCGGGGCCGCGTTTTCGGCGGGCGCCTGCGCTATCATGGTGCCGGGCCTGGGTTTATGGGCGCGGGCCTGTGTGGGCTTGGCGGTGGCGGAATAGGGCCGCGCTTTGAAAGGGCCGACTAGAAAGGGCCGACGAAAGGGCCGAGACTTGGAGGAGCCGGGGTCAGAAAATGGACACAAGCAGGAAAAAAGCCGACCGTAGGAAAAGAGCCGATCGTAGACAAAGAGCCGAATGTAGGAAAAAGGACTGCTTGTAAAAAAAAACCGATTGTGGGAAAAGAACTGCTCGTAGGAAAAGACCGATGGCAGGAACAAAGACAGATGGCAGGAGAAGAGGCCGCTACTTAAGGCCGCTGTCGAGACGGCGGGGCAGAAAATATAGCGTGCTCCCAGAAACAGGGCCGGTGGCCCCAGGGCCGCAACTTCGGGAACGGCCCGCGGTACAGGACAGGCCGGGGAGGGAAACCAAAACGCCTCCGGTGGGCAACCCAGGCACAGGCGCACGAGCCGTGCGGGTGTAGTACCTGCCGTCTTTGCGGGTTTTTCATGCCGTGCCGGGCACTTTGCTTTAGTGCCGGGTGTTTATTTTTGGGTTCGGGTATTTATTGCGTGGGGCCAGGTACTAATTGCGTGGGGCCAGGTATATTTTTGGGGCCAGAGATTTATTGCCTTGCACGGCTAATTTCGCACCCTGGCTAGCATAGAATACAATGCAGTTTTCGAAGCTCCGTCAGTCCAGTCTCTGTACCGGCGGCCCTCTTTGCCCGCATCACAAGGCAAGCCGTTCGTCTCCTACACTCATAGGCTTTTATGCATATTAGGACACGTATATCAACCACTACGTGGGTCTGCTCCGCTGCCGGGCCCGTATACAGGCAATGCGCCTGGGGCAGGGCCAATACCAATATGGCAATATGGCACCAAGATGGCACCAAGATGGCACCAGCCTGTGCCCGGCCCCTGGCCAGCTGTGCGTTGCTGCCGAGGGCTTTTGGGCTCAGTAAAACAGGCCGTTTTTTCCATTTGGGGATTTCTGGCCCGGCGTCCGGCAATTGGCTGGGGTCTGCCGATCATCACCAGGGAGGGCTGGAGGGTACGCCACACCACGCACATCCTGCCACGGCAAGTCGTGTTTTCTTGTGTTGACAAAGTCCTCATATCGTTTTCGTATTTGTAGAAATCGGCGACGCCACGGCAGTGGGCCTGGCCCGGCCACGGCGAACGTCCCGAGAGACGAACCAGCCGAGGCCAATGAATGGCCCGAAAGTGCTCTGCTCGACCAAGCAAGCCGGGAACACCCGGTTTTGTCCCCACCTACGTCTCCCCGCCGCCTGTCCCGGCAGAACTCTGCCGCTGTCATCTTGTGTTTGTTTATTACCGTCTTTTTCAAGCGCTTTTACTACATACTCCCCTCTGCTGGCCCCGGCCCTAGCGGGCGTCGCGGTCGGGCCCGGCAAAGTACCGCGGCATGCGCATCTTCGTTTTGTCCTGGTAGATGGGCTCCTCGAACTTGGCCCTGGTCTCCGGCGACATGGTCTCGGCCACCATTTCCTGTCTCCTCATCTCGGAAAAGTATCTGCGGGCAAGGTGCCTGTCCTCCTCGGCCCGCAACAAGGGCTCGAGGCTGAAACGGGCCCACTGTTTTTCTCTTGCAAGCTCACGCTGCTCGTCCACGCCCTGGTAGTACCGGTAGTAGCCAAAAGCCATGATGGCGGTGATGCCCCAGAAGTACACTGTGGGGCGGAAGCCTCTGGCGGGGAGATTTCTCTTCCACTGCACGGGCTCGTATCCTCCGATTGGCGGCAAATCTTGCATGTTGGCGAATAGGATGTGTGGTGTTTCTGGGGAAGGCTGGGCTGCAAGCTCGGGCTAGTGTTGAGAGTATGATTTTGCTTACGATTCTATTGGCTGCGCGCACGGTTTTTTTTTTCCTGCGAGGCCCTACTTGCAATACGCGCACTAATCAATGGCTGCGCGCACTCAGTGTATATGGATGTTCTCACTGAGCTGGTTTCTGGAGCTGGAGTTGTGTGGTGTTTTTGTGGACGGTGGAACGGACATGGGAACTGGTGGGGCAGTTTGTGGTGGTATGGTAAGTGGTGTGTTGGGTCTTGTCTGTGGTGTACCTGGTAGTCTTGTAGTAGATCTCAGTGGTGTCTTGTAGTAGATCTCAGTGGTGTCTTCAGTGGTGTCTTCAGTGGTGTCTTCAGTGGTGTCATCAGTATCTCGGCAGTGGCTGGTCATAGTCAAATATGCCAGGTCTATTGCCGATGTCATTTATAGAGTGGACTCATATACATGGAGCCTCCTCTCGATTGTTTCTGGTCGGTTCAAAGGACCAACAAAATTGAGAGGAGCTCATTCCGTGTATGTTCCATCGCACAGTAGTGCCTCTTCTTATCACTGTACACTGTCTCTAATCGCTGGATTAAATCGACCATGCCATCTTCTAAGCAAGACGAAACTGTCCTCGGTTCACTCCTCCATGCGAGTCCATACGATCATGCAAGATTCCACGAATAATGTTACTTGTGTGCGAATTTTCTATATGACAAGGCCCCGGGGCATGGCCCCGGCTCATAACTCTCTCCTCAAACTCCCCACGTCGCCCATCTACTTGATATCGAAGACTGGCTTCAATTTCTTGATCAACACCCAGTCGTCTCTCGACACCGTGTCGCGGAACGCAGGGTCCTTCAAGGTGTCAATGGACTTTCTCGAAATCAACGAGTACAAGTTGTCGGTCTCATCCACGTGACGGCCCCATGTGGGCTGCGCTGCGCTAGGGTTCTCCAATCTCATGGCAACACCGGCTGCCGTCTGGCCCTTCTTGACAATGTCCGAAGCCTTGTGGTTCACTTCCAAGGACACGACCTTACCCAAAACAAGAATGTTGGGCTGGCCCGTGGTTGGGTCTTTCCGCACGGCACAGATGGGAGTGCCCACACGCACAGCGCCCTCGATGACGTCGACACCGATGATCATAGGGTTACGCTTGTTGATGATCTGCACGGTCTTCAAGACACAGGGCATGACGGCGTACTCCATGAAGTCTTGGCGACGCTGTTCGAGCAACTTGTTCTGGTAAGCGGTGAAAGCATCGAACAAGTGGTAGATGATGTCCGCGTTGAAGATCTTGATCTTCTGCTCTTCAGCATACTGCTCGGCCTCTCTGTCCACCTTCACGTCGAAACACAACATGACGGCGTATTCGGGCGCCTTCTCCAACATCGTGGTGGCCTTCATCACGTCTCTCTTGAAAACAGGACCCAACCCGATCGACATCACGGGGATCTTCATCGCCTTCAAGAAGTCCAACAAGGCCTCCAAGGAACCCAACGTCGAGGCCTGGACCACCACTCCTCTTCCGGACGTGTCCACGGAGTCCAACAATCCGGTCAAGTCGTCCATGACCTCCTCCATAAGCTCCTCCTCGTCGTCGTCCTCGCCAACCACAAGCAAACGAGAGCCGGCAACAGCCTTCTCCAAGTCGTTGGCAGCGATCTTCACACCCAAGGCGGCCTTGACCTCCTTGAGATGGATGTACTCGGACTTGATACGCAACTCACGCGATGGCGGAGGCGTGAGGAGCGCCCTGATGTTGGTGACAATCGGGCCGTTCAAGCCGCAGAGCACCACGCGGTCACCCTCTCTCAACACACCGTTAGACAACACCACGTCGATGGTGTAGCCGAAACCCTCGACGACCTTGACCTCCAAGATGGTGGCCTCGACCTTGGACAAGTACATCAACTGCTTGGACATTCTCTTCTGCGTGAGCTCGAGCAACAACCACAACAAGTCAGGCACACCCTCGCCGGTCACGGCGGACGTGGGCACGATGGACACGTACTTGGACATGTTCTTGTTCTGGAAGTACAACTCGGAGTTCAAGCCCTGCTCGGACAACGCAAGCTTGATCTGCTCGAAACGGTTGAAGAACTCGGTCTGCACGGACGCAGCCTGTCTGCCGAACGAGTCTCTGAACGAGTTGTTGGGGGTCGCCTCCCAGTCGTACAACCTGTCGATCTTGTTCAAGGCCACGATGAACGGAGCCTTTCTGTCACGCAACAAGCGGATGGACTCGAGCGTCTGCTGCTCCAAGCCGTGCATGATGTCGATGACCAAGATGGCAATGTTACACAAGGACGAGCCACGCGATCTCAAGTTGGTGAAGGACTCGTGGCCCGGCGTGTCGATGATCAAGAGACCCGGCACCTCGAACGTCTGCTTTTCGTACTGCGACATGACCGCGGTCTTGCGCTTGATGGCATCCATAGGGAAGTACGTGGCTCCGATCTGCTGCGTGATTCCTCCGGCCTCGCCTCCCTGCACGTTCGTTTGGCGGATCTTGTCCAACAACTTGGTCTTTCCGGTGTCGACGTGACCCAAAATACAGCAGATGGGCGAGCGCATTTCCTGTTCGGGCGCCGCTTTCTTGGCAATGGCCACGGCCTCGGCCCGTGCCTTCTCCTCCGCTGCTTTTCTGGCCTGCTCCGCGGCAGCGGCACGCTCGGCGTCCTGCCTGGCCTTTTCTGCAGCGGCAGTGGCGGCGGCCTGGGCCTCGGACTCGTCCTGCTCTTCTTCTTCTTCGTCGTCGTCTTCCTGTTCCTCGACCACTTCCTCCTCGGCCTCCGCGTCGTCGTCCTCCTTCAAAGCAGACTCCCAGTCGTCGGCCACGTCGTCTTCGGCCAACTTCTCCCAGTCCTCCTCGACCTCGTCTTCTTCTTCCGGCTTGGCAGGCTCGGGAGCTTGCTGCTGCGGTTTCTGGATGAAGGTCTTGGGCTTGGCCGACTTCTTTTTCGTGTACACGATACGCTTGGGCTTTTTCTCCGCGACGTCGTCGCCGTTGCTGTCCTTGCCCTTCTGGAACGCGGCAATTGTGATGTTGCCGGACTGCAACAAGATCTCACGCTGGCGCTCCTGCTGGCGCTTCTGCTCCTTCTGCTTTTTGGTGAGGTACTTGCCCTCGGCCTTCAACTGCTGGATTTTCTGCTTCTCCTTCTCCCGCTTGGCCTCCTTGGCCGCGGCCTGCTTCTGGAGGTCTTCCTCCGCGGCCTTCTCCTCATCTAGACGGCGCTGCTCCTCCTCCTCTTCGAGACGGCGCTGCTCCTCCTCGAATTGCTTTTTCATTTCCATCTGCTTCTTCAATGCGGCAAGCGCGGCTGGCACCTTCTTGCCCTTTTTGGCAGGGGCAGCGGTTTTAGGCGCCGCCGTGGGCTCGGGTGTTTTCTCAGATTCACTGGCCGGTTTCTTGTCGGCGCTGGCAGCGGCGGCGTTTTTCTTGTTGGCCTCCTTGATCTGCTCCTTTTTGGCGGCCTGCTCGGCCTTCTTCTTGGCGGCCTGCTCCTTCTTGGCAGCCTTCTCAGCCTCCTTCTTCAACTTCTCCTTCTCCTTTTTACTCAAGAGACGGGGGCCGTCTTTCTTGTCTTTCTCCTCCTGCTCCTTGGCCTGCTTTTTCTGCTTGGACGATCTGATGGAACTCAAGAAATCGTCCTGCGGGGTGTCCTCTGCAGCAGTTTCGGTGCTTGCTGCCTCGGAATCTTCAGGTTCCACCGAAGGCTCGGCACTGGCGCCGAATTCCTCGGCCGGCTGCTGCTCATACATGTCCTCATCGTCCCAGATATCTGCTCCGGCTGTGGCCTTAGATTTTTTCCCCATGTTTATGTTCAGAAATTGGTGGAAAACTAGTGGTGGGAGGGTGTTTTTCGCCCTACCGGGACCCAGGACTTGAGATGCGAGCTTTTTCTGTGATTTGGTGTGCACACGCACTTTTCACATTTTGCACCTGCTGGAAGCACCTGTATCTCGAATGTTGGGCCGCAGAAGTTCCCTTGCAATTAAGACCGGTAGATCCTTTCGGACACCACTGATTCTATTTCTGGGCCACCTGTTTCTGGTGCTGCTTTGCCCAGGCACACGCCTCGTCTCTAGTGGCGAAATAATCTAGAGACGATTTCGCAAGCGAGTTAGAGAACAGATGCTACGTCATATGCCGGAACAGCACCTTGCTGCACAGCGTAAGTAGCAAAAAAAAAAGTGAAAACCAAGCCCACGCTTGCACTGCTAATCTTCAGTAACGCCGTCACAAATACACAGCACACCACGTAGCCATGACGACCGTCGAAAAGATCAAGGCCATCGAGGATGAGATGGCCAAGACGCAGAAAAACAAGAACACCTCGTTCCATCTTGGTCAGTTGAAGGCGAAATTGGCCAAGTTGAGAAGAGAGCTTTTATCCGACAGCACTGGCGGGGGTGGTGGTGGAGGTGCAGGTTTCGATGTGGCACGGACAGGTGTGGCCACCATTGGCTTTGTGGGTTTCCCATCGGTCGGAAAATCCACGCTATTGTCTAAACTCACCGGCACCCATTCGGAAGCTGCCGCATACGAGTTTACCACTTTGACCACCGTGCCGGGTGTGATCAAGTACAAGGGTGCAAAGATCCAGATGTTGGATCTTCCGGGAATCATTGAGGGCGCCAAGGATGGTAAAGGTAGGGGTCGTCAGGTCATTGCCGTGGCGCGCTCGGTTAACTTATTGTTCTTGGTCCTTGACGTCAACAAGCCTTTGCAGCACAAGCAGGTCATTGAGAAGGAGTTGGAAGGCGTGGGCATCCGGATCAACAAAGAGCCACCCAACATCGTCATCAACAAGAAGGAAAGAGGCGGAATCAACATCACCACCACATCGCCCTTGACGCATCTCGACGACGGCGAAATCAAGGCTGTGATGTCCGAGTACAAAATCAACTCTGCTAACATTGCTTTTAGATGTGACGCCACCGTTGATGACTTGATCGATGCGATCGAAGCCAAAACCAGACGGTACATCCCCGCCATCTACGTGTTGAACAAAATCGACTCGTTCTCCATCCAGGAACTTGATTTGTTGTACAAAATCCCCAACGCCATTCCTATCTCATCCGGAAATGGCTGGAACTTGGATGACTTGTTGGAGATGATGTGGGAACGCTTGAAGTTGGTGCGTGTTTACACCAAGCCAAAGGGTAAGCTCCCGGACTTCAGCGAGCCTGTGGTGTTGAAGAATGGCCGCTCCACGGTTGAAGATTTCTGTAACTCTATCCACAAGTCTTTGGTGGACGATTTCAGAAATGCTGTTGTGTTCGGCACATCGGTTAAACATCAGCCTCAAATCGTCGGCTTGAACCATGAGATGCAAGACGAGGACGTGATCACTATTTTGAAGAAGTAGATGGAGAGTCTCAGGTGGAGTATAGAATTGGAGGACACTTGGTTGAGCTTGTATGGGGTGGGACTTGATTGGAAAAGTCACCGGTGTCGTCTCGGGTGCCCTCTGAATGTCTAGTTGTATATTAAGAATGGACGCTCAGTGTCGTGGATTACTTAAAAAAACACTGGTTTGACGTTTGAAGTTTCCTTAGCTTTCCTTTCTTATGGAGATCTGAAATCGCGTAACTGCCATGTATAGCTCATATCCCAGTACCTTACCCGAATCAGGTTTTGAGGCATGTTCGAAAGTATACGGTCTATTATCACCCTAATAATTGGATACAAACTGGGAGTATAAGAAGCTCTTGAACAAAATTACCTGCAAACATGAATTCTTTCTATAAAACGACTTAAACGCTACTGAGTATTGTGGTGGTTTATCGGCCTTTGCTATCTCCAATTACTGAGACTAAGATCTGATTGGATAGAAGAACGCAGTTTTTCTTTTATTCAAGATGTGGTCTACGAAAAGGTGTACATTTGTGTACTAAGGACGAGTGCTTTCGACGGGAAACAGCTTCGCATGTATCGACAAAAATAGTTGGTGAGAAGGTCAAATTCAACGGCCATAAGAGTAAACTTTTGTTTCTGAACTTTGTGTTGATCATTAGGTGTCGGGCTCTGACTTCACTCAAAAATGCTAGGGCCTATATTGCCTGTAGGCGTAACTTACAATACATAAGCTTGGGTTGTTTCTTTATCGCTATTACAAAACATGAAAAAACCACCTTTTACATTACTGGGTCAATTAAAAGTGCCTTGTTGTCTACTAGCGAGCATAAAAACTATCGCTTTCACAGTGAGTCGGATCTCTGAGACGGGAATTCGCCATTAAGCACGCTTATTTTATTCCGTCATTATTGAAATATTACCAAGTTTTATTTCTTCAGATAATTTACACAAAGTTTTGAGAACCCAGCCACTACAATTAATTGTCGATTCAATGCATACAATGACACAGGAGGACCAAACCAAGGTCAGAAGTAAAAAAAAAAGAAGGCTTTAAGATTTGAAACAGATCTCACCAACTAAACCAAAAACAGAAAAGGAGCTCATTTTCGCATTCTGAACTGCTGGCTTCTTTATAAATAAGCCAATAAATGAACAAAACTATAAAAAAAAATGTATATTGTTAGGAAACATTATACACTCGATTTAAACTGCAGTGTCTGTGCAAATGCAAAATTGGTTAAAGTGGATCTACCAAAAGAAAAGGAGGTTATAGGCTGTTCAATGAATTTGTCGTAGACAGTTCCTATGTCGGAATCTGCTAAAAATCAATAAAAAATAAATGGACGAGTCCGGATTTGAACCGGAGACCTTTCCCATGCTAAGGGAACGCGCTACCAACTGCGCCACACGCCCGCTTTGTGAATCTTTTTGGTGCTGTATATATAAATCACATATCCTAAAATTGAATTTATCAAACTTTGGATTATTAAACAGAATTGTTTTTTAAGACAACATTCCTGGAGTTCTCATGTCTCAAAAAAATTGTGGGTTTTTAGCTCCTCAAGTTCGTTATAAAGTTTTGCCCCTTTAAGCAGATGAATCTACCAAAAAAAAAAGTTATATAGTTTTGCCCCTTTAATCAGATGAATTTACCAAGAAATAAAAATGGAAGAACTCTGAAGTCGGGCCATGGCGTCTGATCGCCTGTTTTGTAATTTTGGAGTAAGGTTCGCTCTATGAAGCTACAATTCTATGTCTTTCATTGTGTAGCTGCTCTGGACCTATTGACGGTGCCCAATTATAGTGTGCTCGTCTCTAGAATATAAAAAAGATACGGCATGTGTTCTTTAAACCTATTTCTTCCTACGAGCTTGAAGCCAGCAATATGGGGAATTTATTCGAGCGTCTATAGTATATGGTGCCAAAAAACGCTATCCAAGTTGTTAAGCTGATTAGCAGCCCTTTGATAAAAGTCTCGGGTCGCATATTCGGATCATACGTCTCCGAGACTTTTTTTCTCAAGTTTTGAGATCATCTACGAAGTGTTTCTTATTTTCGGTGGCAATCTATGTTATGTAATAGAAACTTATATTAGCCGAGACCCCAATGTCCTCTCATTTGATGAGGTAAAGTGGTGTGTCTCGAAACTGGAGATCATATCCAATGAATAAATTTTACATTCCTCACAATGAACTCACAGCGGTATTTTTAAGTGGTTAATACAAAAAAGTACCGGGCAATGCATTTGATGTTTCTAAAAAATTCAAAAGTATTGGAAAAACAAAGAAGGCCATCTTGCATTAGCTATGCGTACTTCATCAAGATTACAGTTTGAATTGGGATGCTCTTTGCATGAAAAGGTGGAATCTTGTTATTTTGGATTGAGTCGTAAAACGTTGTGTCATCATAGCAAGTTCTGTAGAACTGTGTGATTAGAAATCCTCAAAGCCTCTTAGAACATAATTTTGAAGTTCATGATTTAATCTTCGCCTTAATGTCAATATATATGGATAATGAATTTTATTCTGGACGTTTCATCTGCTTTAATAGTACACATGACAAGTATAGGTTCACTTGCAGTCCAAAGCACGATCAATGTTTCACAGACCAACATCTGAATCATTTCCTTCGGCGAATGATAAGCTTTTATGCAGCAACTTTCAGAGAGAAACCGCCAAATCTTCTTGAAATTTCAAAAAAGGGCCAAAGACATTGTCTTTAAGACGCAATATGTATGAGTCAACTTGCAGCTTTCGCTGTATAGTGCGTACCAATAATTTTCTGCTGGTTTGAGTTTATCTTGCGTGTAGATACATATTTGGAACTATTGTCGCCCGCGGACATTTTTGACAACGGTTGGAAGCTGGACAAAAGTATTGAATGACTCGGGCTTATAGACGCGATTGTTTTTGCCATCTGGATTCAGAGCAGCCAAAAGTATATTGTTCTTCTAGACAGATGAGCACTAGGATAATAAATTGGAGCACGAGTTCCCAAATAGAAGAGTGGTTCAAAGCCGCTTGCATGGCGGGTAGCCGTCCCAGACTACCGACATACGATATAGAAGGCATTTTTGCGTATATTCCCGTTGCCAGATTCAGCGAAGAAGTACAGCGGAATGCTGCGAATCAAAGTGCATTTCCCGACTTTTCAAGCTTCTCTGGGTATTTTTCCTCCTTGTGTGGGGTGCCAGCAGGAATTTTAGTCGAAACACTTTTAGCAGAAAGTTTTGAAGAGACTTTGTAGTGATGATTATCGAGCCAGAAAAGACAAGGGGCACGTTCCAGAATAAACCAGAGCAAATCTGTGTGAATCAAGCATACAGCGACCTTTCGTTATCTTTGCAGCTTGAGCTCCACCTGGCTTTGAGAAAATTCTTCGAACTCCAATTTATTTAGAAATAAGCTTTAGCTCTTTCGAGAAAATACATATTGAGTGCGAAATGTTTGGAGACAGGGTTGGAAATGAAATCGAGAGGTAATAAAGCAAACAATCGGTGCATTTTAATTTCAATTCTTCAAATACAGCCCCATGAATTACTTTAGTTCCTTATACTTTGTTGGTGAGAAAGAATCATAGCTCAAAAAGTATCTTTAGTTTGAAATCATGGATACGCACCGTCAACGCAAATCTTGATGATGAGATGTCCAACTGCTACAATGGTGTAACATACGTGTGCTGGAGTCAACTCTGCACATATTGCTATCTGAATCTTTGGCCCGGTCTGAAACTCAGACAGTCTTTTAGACAGTACCAGGATGCACGAGTTAAGGGGTGGTAAAAACTAGTGAGCAAGGGGACCCGCTTTTAGAGCCTCATGCGTGGGGTGAGTTTTGCCAGAGATCCTAAGATGAGAAAAGGAGGTCCTTTTCGAAAAAAGAATGGATAAGTCTGTCGTAAGGCTATCCATAAATAGCGTTAATTTTTAACACGTGAAAACCCCACTGAGATTAGATCTACCAGATGTATATCTGAGAAACTTGCTACAACTTGCGGAATCTCAGATGTACATGCCAGTCACCCATTTCTACAGTGCAGCTTGGAAAATTGAAGTCAAATGCTTCTGACAACACGTTTTTAATACCTATGAATAAGAGAAAGAATCGAAGTCATCAATTTTTTCTGTAGAGTCTCGCAGGCACATCATACATGGCCCAATAGACTCTCGTCCAAAACTTGTTCACTATCATGTTGATAAACACGTACGAGAACGCTTCGGCGTCACCCGCACGAATAAGTAAGGGAAGTATTATGCACACTTGACGATCCACGCCAATTAGGAACAGAACTCCATACTTGCGATTTTGCTGATGAATATTGCGTGATTAAGTTCGCACCTGATAACGTGCCGTTCAGAGGTTGATCCTCCCTAATCTCTTTGTAAAGCCGTCCAGATGATGCTTTAGTACCCCAAATCAAGATGCAAAGCAAAAGCAAGAAGCAAAATAAAATCTGAGTATTTTGAAAAAGATCCCAAGGCCATTAGTGTCTGTTGTTGGAAAGGCCGCATTCTGAAGAACCTCATCATAAATGCATTGGATCTACAGCATTTCGAAAAAGCCGATTTGTTATTGAAATGTTTTTGAAGGCCTTAGAATTTCCAGCATGTCGAAAAAGCTGATTTGTTACTCAAGTATTTCAAAGGCATTAGGTATTCCAATTTGTCGAAAAAGCCGACTTGTCATTGAAGCATTTCTGAAGGCCTTGGGTATTCTATTTTGTCGAAAAAGCCGACTTGTCAATGAAGCATTTCTGAAGGCCTTGGGTATTCCAAATTGTCGAAAAAGCCGATTTACTACTCAAGTATTCTCAAAGGCATTAGGTATTCCAATTTGTTGTAAAACCGATTTCTCAAGTATTTCAAAGGCCTTAGGTTCTCCAGCATATCAAACACGACTTGAGACCAGCCCCAATCCAAATCACCAGGGCCCACCAGATCTGGCCCTGCACAAGCCGCACCCTCATCTAGAACACTGTATTAAAGACACACAGTATATCCCGTGTCTCGATGAGCAAACAGCAAAAAATCGCAGAGCCGCCACCGACGCTAGCCGCTGAACAGCCCCGCTACTCCCCCACCCCGGCCTAAAAACACAACCCAGTCCGTTGACGGGCCACGGCCCCGGCGGTCACGTGACCGCACCGCATGCCGGCACTGTGCCGCGCGACCCATCCCAGCACAGGCGAAAAAAAACCCTATCAAATCAACCGTTCCTTCTACATACCCCAAACCCCGGCTCGGCTCTCCTCGAACCGGCCCCCCGTATTTGCACACAGTCAGCTGTCCGCAAGTACCCAGTCTTTTTCGCCGCGAAAAAACACCCGTTGCAGCGCCTTTTGGTCCTTTCCCAGCGCCCCTCTCTCCAACCCTCCCAGAGAGCCTAAGCGCCAGCGACAACACACAAACACGCCGCCAAGAACATGAGCATGCCCCCGGAAATCAGCGCGGTGTTGGGCCTGTTGCTCCAGGGCTTGATGGCCACCGAAAACAGCGTGCGCCTAGCCGCCGAGACGCTGCTCGACGCCGAGTGGCGGGCCCCTGAGCGCGTCGGCTTGTTGTTGCTTTTCCTCGCACAGACCGCGGCCGGCGGCGCCGACGACAGCACGCGCGCGTTTGCCGCGGTGTTGTTCCGCCGCACGGCCATCCGCACGCCGCAGCAGCTGGCCAGCATCGCGGACCGCACCTTCGGCGTGGTGGCCGCCGACGTCCAGAGCCAGGTGCGCGCCGTGTTGCTCCACGGCTTCGTGGCGCCGCAGGCGCCCGCCGTGCGGCGCAAGTTGGCGGACGCGGTGGCCGAGGTGGCGCGCGACGGCGGCTGGCGCGAGTTGCTCCCGGCCGTGCTCCAGGCCGCGCAGGCCGGCGATTCCAGTGTGCGCGAGCTGGCGTTCCGCGTGCTCGCCACGCTGCCGGAGATCATCGAGAAGAGCATGGTGGGCGACGTGATGCCCGTGTTCGACGGCGGGTTCGCGGACGGCAGTGACGAGGTGCGCATCGCCGCGTGCACGGCGTTCGTGGCGTTCTTCCGCGAGCTCCCCAAGAGCATCTGGCAGGCGATGGCGCCGCTCTTGCCGCGCTTGTTGAACTCGTTGCCCATGTTCTTGCAGAGCGGCGAGACCGACGCGTTGGCCGAGGTGTTGCAGTCGTTGATCGACTTGGTGGAGCTTGCGCCCAAGATGTTCAAGGCCATGTTCGCCACCATCGTGGACTTCTGCCTGTCGCTCTGCAAGAACGGCGACTTGGACGCCGCGCCGCGCTTGGCCGCGCTCGAGCTCTTGACCACCTTCGCCGAGGTCTCGCCGGCCATGTGCAAGCAGACGCCCAGCTACACGCTGTCCATGGTGCTCATCAACTTGTCCATGTTGACCGAGGTCAGCCGCGACGACGACGACGCCGCGGACTGGAACAACGACGACAACAGCGAGGACTGCGACGACGAGCCCGAGTACGACGCCGCGCGCCAGTCCTTGGACCGCGTGGCCTTGAAGTTGGGCGGCCACGCGCTCGCGGCCCCGCTCTTCCAGTACTTGCCCGCCATGTGCCAGCTGGACAGCTGGCGCGACGTGTTCGCCGCGTTGATGGCGCTCTCCTCCGCGGCCGAGGGCTGCTGCGACGTGCTCGCCACAGAGATCCCCAAGCTCTTGGACATGGTCTTGCCCACCTTGAGCCACCCGCACCTGCGCGTCCAGTACGCCTGCTGCAACGCCTTGGGCCAGATGTCCACTGACTTTGCCGACGTCATCCAGCGCACCTCGGGCGACCGCATCTTGCCCGCGCTCGTGTCCAAGCTCACCGCCAAGTCCGTGCCCAGGGTCCAGGCCCACGCCGCGGCCGCCTTGGTCAACTTCTGCGAGGCCGCGTCCAAGGAGATCCTCGAGCCCTACTTGGACGACTTGTTGAACAACTTGTTGGGCTTGCTCCTGTCGCCCAAGCGCTACGTGCAGGAGCAGGTCTTGACCACCATCGCCATCATCGCCGACGCCGCGGAGAAGAAGTTCCTCAAGTACCACAGCACCTTGCTCCCCATGCTCATCGACTTCTTGAAGTCCGACCTCGGGCCCGAGAACCGCATGTTGACCGCCAAGTGCATCGAGTGTGCTACCTTGATCGCCGTCGCCGTGGGCAAGGACAACTTCTCGGCCCACACCCAGGAGTTGATCAACATCATGGGCGAGCTCCAGAACTCCGTCGTCGAGCCAGACGACCCGGTCAAGCTGTTTTTGGAGCAAGGCTGGGGCAGGCTCTGCAGGATCATTGGCGACGACTTCGTGGCGTACTTGCCGGCCGTCTTGCCCCCTTTGATGCTCGCGGCCAAGGCGGCACAGGACATCTCCTTGCTCGAGGAAGAGGAGGCGGAGGAGTTCAACACCAACGAGGAGTGGGATGTCATCAACATCGCGGGCAAGTTGATCGCCGTGCATACCGCGGCGCTTGACGAGAAGGCCGCGGCCATGGACTTGTTGCGTATCTACGCAACACAGTTGAAGGGCCACTTCTTCCCGTGGGTCAAAGAGATCGTGCAAGAGATCGCTCTCCCTGCCCTCGATTTCTACCTTCACGATGGCGTGCGCGGCTCGGCCGCCTTGACCCTTGCGGCCTTGTTGAGATCCACCATCCACGCCACCTCCAGCAACTCCGTGGAGACATTGACCATCTGGGCTCAGATGTGCGAGAAGTTGGTCGACGCGTTGGTCAATGACCCCGTGCCAGAGTTGCTCGTGGCTTACTACACCGCCATCACCGATTGCTTGCAAGCATTGGAGCCATCTTCACTTTCGGCTGAGCAGATGCAATCGATCTCCGCGGCCATTAAAAAGAATTTGACCGAGATATACGAGCGCATCAAGCTCAGAGAAAGCGACGACGATGAGTACCAGGAGGAAGTCGCCGACGAGGATGAAGACTACACGGACGAGGAGCTTCTTGACGAAATTAACAAGGTGATCTCTGCCATTTTCAAGAACGCCAAAAGCCTGTTCCTCCCTGAGTTCCAGCTGAGCTTGGCTGGCCTTGTGTCCACCTTTATCAGCGACGAAAATTCCCACATCAAGTTGTGTGGCTTGTGCATTATTTGCGATGTTCTCGAACATGCCGGGCCCGAGTTTAACCAGCTTGACTACCTCAGGTATATTGCAGTTGACTGCTTGACGTCTTCGCAGGCAAGCATCCGCCAGGCGGCTGCTTACGCCATGGGCGTGGCAGCCCAGTATGGTGGCAACAATTACATGGAGATCTGTGTGCAGACATTGCCCAACTTGTTCAAGATCGCCACGTTCCCGGATGCACGTGCAGAAGAGAACATCAACGCTACGGAAAACTGTATCGCGGCCATTCCAAAAATATGTGCCAACTTCAGCGCATCCATCGCCGACTTGGACAAGGTTCTCCACGAATGGATCTCTTTGCTCCCCATTGTCCAGGACGATGAAGCTGCTGCATTTGCATACGGCTTCCTTGCGGATTTGATTGAAAACCAGCATGCGGCAGTCATGGGCCAAATCCCCAAGGTGGTGGATTCTGTGCTCGAAGCGATCAACCACAGAGCCATTTCCGGTGCTGTTGCCGAGAAAGTCGTGCCTCGCGTGCGTGCTCTTCTAGGGACATTGCCACAAGATAAGGCCATGAGCATGGTGCAGAAGTACTCCGCCTCTCCCGAAGTGACAAAATACTTTTCCTGAGTCGTTTTTCCTCGGTTGAGTGTATATGGGTGTACCATGCTATTGGGAATAGCTCTAATTGCAAAGAAGTCGGCTCTGTGGCTATAGAGTCTGGTGCGTTTGCGGAAACTGTTTATAGAGCGGACATGCTAAAGTGATGCCTGGAGTTCCTTGATGAGCTTGCTTGCGTGTTCAATTGACTATTATCTGATACATTATAGGTGAGTTTGTAATCTGGAGCTTCGGGTTTAGACAGCTTATCCGTGCTCTGTGCAGTTAGACATGACTTGGACACTGGCTCTCATGGGCACTTAAACTGACGCTCCTGCAACGTGAGACTGGAGCTGAAAGTTCGAGTCCTCCTTTGATTGTTGGAATTGTTTTGGTATTCGTCATGAGATATGGAGAATTGAATCCAACCAGCTATTTCACATGATAGGTCATACCACGCTCTCATGGGCTATTTCTAGATATTCGAGTTTACTTAGTTCGTATCGAAAACGATCACATACTATATCGTGTGGCGACTTTCAGTTGCTTCACCGCCGGAAGTGCCGCTATCCAAAGCACTGTATTTTTTAATCGTGACAATCGTGATCTCTCGCAAGAAAGACGAAAAGTAGACGTAACCAGACGCAGAAACCAGAAGATTTGCGTCCAGTTTGCTTTCACCTCTTATGGCCCCATGAGAAAACGTCAACTACTCTGGTTCTGACTATGTACGTGCATGCTATACATGCAACAACATCGGAGTTTCACTGATAAACATATTCAATTCAGGCAGGCGTATTTAAACGAAAAAGCCGCAGAAGGAACTCAATGGGTTTGATTGTTGCTGGATGTCTTGGTCGATGCTGGCCCGTAAGAGATTATTAGATTAACGCGGTTCGCAATGCACCGTTTCTGCGGCACAATGGTCAAAATGTTCACGGACAATTCATAAATCTCGTAAACCCAGACCACGCACTCTTGGGATACCCGCATTGCCGTTCCATAAGCCACAGGGCAGCTTCGAAGACACCAGCGTAAGCCAATGCGTGCAGGTAGAATAATGCTCCACGAATTTGCAGTCAAGCCGGCGCATCAGCCAAAGAGGAATACGTTTTCGACTTTCTTTTGAATGCCGCCCTTTTGGTTCCAAGGTCCATTCCGACCTGCACCGCGGGGCATATCTACGTAACGTGGTTTTGGGCCGACATGTCGCCAGACAGTCTATCCGATGGTGGACTGCCCAGATCACGTGACGCCGTGCAGCACCAATACCCAGCAGCAAAACGGCCCTCATTAATTCCCGTGCCTGTCAATCCAGAAGGTGTCTGTCAAACCAGAAGATGTTTGTCAATCCAGAAGACTTTAGTCCAGATGTCTGTCAATCCAGAAGACTTTTGCCAATTCAGAAGATGTCTGCCAATTCAGAAAGCGCCTGTTGCCGGTATCCGAAATACAGCCCCAGCACAGCTTCCAGACAACTCATGAACCTGCACGCGCGGACAAGCCATTGTCGGCCGCGTCCGGCACGTGACCCGGCGCTTGATCTGCAAACAGTCGCGAAGCGACCCAGGCAACCGCCCTGAACCACATTTCACATCCCTGGAAACGGCCATTTTCCGAACTTTGGCTGGACCCTCGCACGCCGCATAGACCTCGCTTTGAGCCGGAGACGCCGCTGCCTTTTTCCCAGCGCCCGCACGCCTCCCGAGCCTGATTTCCGAGCACCTGGAGTCCCAGTGCCAGGACCACCCTCAAAGCCGCCCTAGCGCTGTCCAAAACGCCGTCAAACCGGCCGAAACGCGCCCGAAACGCACCTGAAACACGCCCCGCCATGGCAGAACCATCCGTGCTGGCCCGTGCCGAAAGGCCCGTGCTGTCCTCGCGCGGATCGCCCATGTCAACCATCGAAACCAGCGTGACCCGCCTCCTTGTGCTGACCAAACATTTGCTCGAGAGCTTGACCCAATGGGCACACCAGGAGGCCAGCGACAAAGTCGTCCTGGATGCCTACGTCAAATTGGGCAACGATTTCCGCGCCGCGGTGCGCAGCTTCAGCGCCGCCCGCGTCGACATATCCGACTTGGGCGACGTTCCGCGGGCCCTCCGCATCGTGCTAGAATCGGCCCTCAGCGAGGAGCCCACCCAGCGAAACTTGGACAAGTTCCTTCCGAAGATCCGCGGCATCATCGTGGCGCTTCTCCAGAGCTTGAAGAACAAACAGGCCCGTGCAAAAGAGCTTGCCGCCGACCTGAACATGCCCCTGAACATGAGCCACGACCACCTCCAGGACGATCGCCCGGGTTCGGCCATGCCAGCCAAGGCACACATACTGCCCGGCGCGGCCGTGCCGCTGTCCACGCCGCCAAACGGCGACTCGCTCCCCGACAGAAAGGACCCTTCTGCCGACCGCCCGCGGCGCTCCAAACTACTAGCAGACTTGCTGAACAAAGTCAACACGGCCCGCGTTGGCGACACGGAGCCCGAGCCCGAGCACAGCCGCTATTCGCGTGCCGCGCAGCCGCGCGACCTGCTGCTGGCGTCCAGCGACGCGTTGGCCAAGCTCCAAAAGGGAAACGTGATCCTGAGGCGCGCCTCCAAAAGGTTCAGCGCGTACCAATTCGCCAAGCTCGCCAACCTCAGCGGCAGCCACATGCTGAGGATATCCGCGGAGCTTCCCGTGCCGCAGCCCGGCGGAGCCACTGAGGCCGAAGACATCCACGAGGCGACGTCTCATTCGACGCCGCTCGGAAAGTCCGCCGAAGACGCGGGCCTGGCCGACTCTTACATCTTCCTACGAATCGGGGACAAAACGAAGAAGGTGCAGGTCCAGTTTCCCATGACCATGGCGTCGTTGCGCCTCTTGTTTGTGGAGAAGTTTGCCTACTCGCCCAAAACCGCATCTTTCCCCGAGATCTACGCCCTAGACCTTCGCACAAACGTGTCCTTCGAGCTCGAGGAGCACCGCGTGGAAGAGGAGGTCAAAACTGGCACGCTTCTCTTGCTCAAGGCGCCCACCGACCAGGAAGAGTCATTGAGTAGCTTGGAATCCTCTGTCCATGTGTTGAATTCTCGGATGGACACTCTTTCGTCCGAGCTCGTCAAACAAATCAAGGACGCCCTTGACTCTGCGCCCATTTCGGCACACCTTCTGGCTTCACAGGTATCTCAGCCGGCCACAGCGTCCACTGGCGAGGCTTCGAAAGAGCTCGAACAGCGCAATGCAATGTTGACCAAAGCGCTCAAGAACCTACAGCAAGAGTTTAAGGATGTCTCCCAAATTCTGCAGGCACGTGATGCACAGGTCAAACAGTTGACGGCGGCCATGCAGCACGAAATTGGGATGTTGAAAGAGGCTTGTCTCGAAGAAAGCTCGCCGGTCAAAAGCCGTTCTTTCATGGAAGAAAGCTACACAAGGCTTTCCGAAGACTCGGACTCACTACTCACAAAGGTCGACGACTTGCAGGATATGATGGAAGCTCTCCGAAAGGACGTTGCTCAGAGAGGCGTTCGTTTGGGCGCAAAGCAGTTGAAGTCCACACAGAAGGAAATCTGCGCGGTCAAGCTGCAACTCTCGGATCTCATAGAATACATTCGTGACGGGAAGCCATCCTGGAAGAAAATATGGGAGTCCGAGCTTGATAAGGTGTGCGAAGAACAGCAATTCTTCAATTTGCAAGATGACTTGACCCACGACTTGGATGAAGACATCAGGAAAATTGAAGAGACATTTGAGCTCATAGAGAAGTGCAGTGTGCACCAAAGCAAACAAACCCCGAAGAAGAACGCGTTCGCTTCCCAGATGGTGCTTCCTGGGCCCGGGGAGTCCATGTACAATCTACGGGATGCCGTGCTTAGTGAAGTGTGTGCATTGAAGCCTGATCATGAGAGTAGATTGGATGCAATTGCTAAAGCAGAAAAGATAAGGGAAAGGGAGAGACAGCTTCAGAGCTTAACTCAGTTCCAAGAAGAGCTTGGCGATTTTGTGGACGAAAAGAAGTTGAAAAGCTCGGGCGGTATTGAAGATCTAGAGAAAAGACGCCAGCAGCAAGATGCGGAGAATTTGAAGAGTTCGTTTGGGGTCATATAACTAGCATTGCGCATTAATGAGATGTTTGAAAACTTGTGTCGGAACACCATAATCTTTGAGAGTTGAGTCTATAATTCGCCACATATCGCTGCAAAGTTTGTGGAAATGACGGGATGGTCCGTTGACGACGCGAAATCTGGAGAGAACAATCAAGAGAATCTGGAAAGCAAAAACTGCAACTTGCTCAATCACATTGGACTCTGACCTGTGCTCCAGAGCACTTTCAACAGCACACTTCAAAGTGGGCGTAAATATTTTGCAAACATTTCCAGTCACCGTGTCAAAGTCCAGTAGTTTCATGTCAAGCAAGTAGTCGGATACTTTTAGATGAAATCTCCAGCTGAGGTAGGACAACGATGCCTTCAAAGACCTCCTGAAGTTTGCGGAAAGAGCGATGACAGTGTCCTCTGATCTCGCAATGCTTAATGTTCGCAAGTCGATCGTGAGGCCGAGAAAGTGAGCCCGCTCTTTCCCAGGTTGGGCTGCGTCAATCCATGAGATTTTCTCCAGGTTTACGTGAGCACCGTATTCTTTGGCCTCACGGCTCCGGGCCCGCTCCAACATCCTCACACATGCGCTCTTGCTGGTTGAGATAAATAGAAAATCGTCCGCCAATCTTAAAAGAATGCATTCATGGTCCGTTCCTTTCACCTGTGCCAACACTTTGTCCACCACCGCATTGTAAACAATATCACAGAGTGTGCCCAGAAGCGGAAATCCCTGAAACACGCCCCGGGTACGTTTATACTTGATTCCCGGAAAGTTCGGGAGCTCGGTCGATGCATCAAGAACCTGGCTGCGTACCAAATCAAGCACGTCACTTTGCCTGAACTTCAATGTGCGGGACGTGTCTCCGCATACTATGTCCAGTTTATTTCTTGCAGGGTTGTGTGTATAGATGTCCAATTCTTCAACTTCGGATGTGTTCTTGATGATGCTTTTCATAGTAGAGCCTCCGCTGGCTTGCTTGGAAGAATGGGTGTACTTTCGAACAATGTACTCCTCGGAAATAGGGTCGTCCTGGAATAGTTCCTCGGTGCAATGGAGAATCTTCACCTGGTTGAGATTGTCGTAGCAGTGTTTCATATCAAACTGCACGCCATACAAAGGCGGTAATTTGCCACCAAATGTCGTCACGAGGGAAGATTTGAACGTGGATATGCTTTGCCCAATGTCGCGGACAGAGGCACAGCGAGGGAAGGGACACTTTCTTGCATTGGCGAGCTTCCGTTGTTGGCTGCGGAGAATTTCTCGGATGGGACGCATGATGTTGTAGTCATAGAAAACGTGTTCTTTGCGCAGCCTTTTGCGGGCCATGTGGTCAAGCGACAGCGTGCTTCGGTCTACTCTTAACGGGGTGCAAATCGGCCTGAAGTCCGACTTCTTGGGCACCAACCGCAAAACGCCGCGATTGAAACAGAGGCCATGGTTTTCGCCAGACTCATGCGTTTCATGAAGGTATTTCTGCACATACTCGCTTAACCAGAGACGATTCAAACGGGTCCAGGAACGGTGGAGGAAAAACGAATTGGCAGGCTCGCGGGGTATGGCTTTGGCGGGGTTTTCGGTCACGTACCAGAAGCAGGATACAACCTTGACCACGAAATGAGATAGAAGCCAGTTTACGAAGTGGTGCAACGTCCTCATTCTCAGCTCAAAGTCTTGTTTGGAAGTGGGCCGCGGCAGTTTTCCCAACCACGGGATGGCGGTGATTTGGAGCTTTTGCACTATGGCCCTGGCATTGATTGTTTCGGCGCGTTCCGTTCTGAGAACGTCATAGACACTCTGGTTGATGACGTTCCAGTTTTTCTGGCAACCGAATGTGTTGTTAGGGAATACGCGGTGCAACACGACGAAAACAAACCGCGTGACTTGTGCAAACGGCACTGCGGTTGCCAAAATGGACTTTTGCAAGCCTTGATGGCGCACAACACTGTTGAGCACGTGTATGTATTGGAGGCTGTCGTCGTTTGCTTTGGCCACACGAAGCAAGCGCACAAGCAGCCGGTATTTCTTGGGAAGATGTTTCTGCAGCCGGCCGCACCGGACAATGTACCGGGCGATAGCCACAGAGTCCTGGCGGAGCAAGCGGTCGATTCTCCGGGGAGCGGTGCTGAAGTACATGTGGAATTTTCTGGAGGGCTCGAACGGCCGGGGCTTTTTCTTGAGAAAAGACGAGGCTTTGAGCGTGAAGTTCCCATCCAGCCGGAGAAAGCACGAGACTTCATGAATCATGTCCACGAACAGCTGACGGCCCAATACATAGCAGAGTCTCTCCCACACGACGCTCTTCAAAAGACTTGTTTTGAAGTTGGAGAGCGCCAGGTCCTGCGGACTGGCGAAGATGCAAGTGGAGACGTCCAGAGCCACCGCATCTATGAAGTCGGGGTAGGATAGCTCGAGAAGCGCGGGTCTGAGTATGGGCGTGTGGATCAGATCTGTTGAGTTGGGGAGCACGACGTGCGTGTTCACCAAGAAGTCCCGGAAAGGCTCGTAGAACGCGTCGAATTGCGAGTGGTTTAGAAGGCCCGACTCGCGGACATGCGCAAACCGATCACAGATGTACTGGAGCAAAGTGGGCTCCATTGAGAGCGGGGAGGCTTCCAATGCGGATGTGGCGCGTAGGAATTGCTGGGGCCGGTAGTTGTATTTTGCGGGGCCGGCGGCCGGATCCTGGCCCTGTTTTGGGGTCGATGGGGCAGATCGGATGGGATGCGCGCACGCTGGGCGGGCCATGGATGACAGGAAACATGGGCGCGAGCGCGGGCCCTGGAGAAGCGCGGCCAGACCAGGAGTGATATTAGTGGACCGAAGTCGGCCAGGGCCTATGTCATGCCGAGTCCCAAAGGTTGCGTGCTGAAATAGCTGGGCAAAAATAGCAGGGCAAAAATAGCAGGGCAAAAAGTTGTGCCAAGATAGCTGTGCCAATACAGGGCCAAAATAGCTGTGCCAAACTAGCGTGTGCTGAAATAATGCGTGCTGAAATAGTGCGTGGTGAAATAGTGCGTGGTGAAATAGTGCGTGGTGAAATAGCGTGTGCCAGAATAGCGTGTCAAAATATCTGTGCCAGAATAGCGTGTCAAAATATCTGTGCCAGAATAGCTGTGCCGAAATATTTGTGCCAGAATATCTGTGCTATTATCCGGGAAAAAATAGGGGAGCCGGAATATCTGTGCCAAAATGTCTGTGCCAGAATATCTGTGCCAAAATATCTGTGCTAGAATATCCGAGCCAGACGGGCAGGGAGACACGGGCCGCGCGGCACTGGACCCGCGCGACACTGGACCCGCGCGGCGCCGGCCCCAGCCGCAGGGCCACGAAAAAAAACGGCGCCGCGCCTCTTGGGCCGCGGCCACCGGCCCGGCGCAGCAGACACCAGCATGGGCAAATTGAAAGTGCCGGCCGACGTCGACTTGGCGGCCGCCACCATCGGCGGCTGCCTCAAGCAAGTGCGGCGCCTGAACGTCCCGCTCCCGGCAGACCACGTGCCCGCGACGCAAAAAGTATGGATCTGCGATGTGCGGCCGCAGCAGACCCAGGCCGTGGTGCGCTTCATCGAACAGCACATGGACCCGGCCGACACCGCGGCGTTGGCGCACGTCAAGCGCTTCCGCAAGCACGCCGGGCCCGGGCCCGGTGCCGCGCTCATCCTGGCGGTCTTGTGCCCGGTCCACCGATACCCGGCCAAGAGCCAGCTCGTCGAGCTTCTCCAGGCGCATTTCGACGACGCGTTCCCCGCGTCCTGCGTCTACGCGGGCGCCGTCCCGCTGGAGCTCCCGCCCACCAAGGAGCTCTCGGCGAGGTGGAGCAGCGACATCTGGCCGCTTTCCTGGAAGGGCAACCCGAACCACCAGGACCTCATCACCGCGCGCTTCGACGTGGCCGAGGAAACGGCGCTCGTGGCCCGGTTGCTCCGCGAGGCGCACGGGCCCGGCGGCGCCGCGGTGGCCACCATCGTGGCCCAGCAGGACCCGGCGACTAAGAAGATCGCCGTGTTGCATGCCGTGCGCGACTCCAGAGAGGACCATGTCTTGCAGCACAGCGTGATGAACGCCGTGGCCGCGGTGGCCCGCGCAGAAGTGGCCCGGCGGGCCGACCCCGCCCGCGCCGCCGCCGGCCAGGACGGCTACTTGTGCCACAACCTCCTCGTGTACACGACGCACGAGCCCTGCGCCATGTGCGCCATGGCGCTCGTACACTCGCGCATCGGGCGTCTTGTGTACGTGGCCACACACCCGCTTGGCGCCATCGAGTCCTCGCATTACATCGGCGACCGCCGCGACTTGAACTGGACGTTTGATATCTGGCGGTGGGTCGGGCCGCACGGCTCCAGCTTGCGTGTTTTGCCCGACGACGTGGCGCCGTAGCGCACGGGCAAGTATGTATGGAGTAGACCGCTGCTATTTGTTGCTCTTGGCGTCGTCCCGTAGCACCGCAATGCACTTCTGCGCCAGCAGACATGCACTGGCACACTGCGCCAGGTCCGGGCAGCTTGCCGCCAGATCGAGCTGGCCAATCAAGCGGCAAAGCTCGCGTTTGCGCCGCCCGGCCGCGCGGAGCTGGCTGCGGAGTTGCTGCTCGAGCTCCTCCGCGTGGGTCTCGCCCGCCCCCACGGCCTTGTGCAAGCACTCGACAAGAAACTGAACCGACGTGCCTGGCGGGGCGGGAGGGGGCTGCACGCCGCCTTCGCCGACACTTGCCGCGCCGCGGGCAAGCTCGCAGCGCTCGGGTAGATATGCCCCGGCCTGCACGTGTTTGTGGACGCCGGCCACGGCGGCCCCGTGCTGTTCGGAAAGAAGACGGTAGAATCTGGAGGCGGATTCGGCGCCGAGCGCCGGGGCGCATTCCCGGGCAAACTTCTCGGGCAGGCAGGCCTCCGCGAACGCGGCGTCCGCAAAGAAGCCGCCAAGAATGTCTCTGCTGTGCATTGGGGGTGGATTGCCGGTTTCTGAGAAAGAACGTGGGTGGCTTTAGAAGTATGGGGGGTGGCCTGTGGTGTACATAGTGCGCCCCGGGCGACGCGTCGATCACGTGCCGCGGCCCTGGGGCCTCTTGCCTTGCCCGAATTGGGCAACTCCGTCTTCCGGGGGAGGTGCTGTAATTTGGAAGAGCGGGGCTTTTTTTTTGGCGCCGGCCAGGGACAGCGGGTAGAGGCGTCACGTGCCGAATGGGGGCTGGCGTCATTGTGGTCTGGACACTAGGCTGAGAGGCCTCTGTCACTGTTCGCAGCTAATTAAACAGCGGTGCGAACAAGGCACCCATATCAGGACTGGGCCGTGCCAATTGATTTCCATTTGTTTTCCTTTTGATTTCGTTTTGGGTTCGTTTTTTTTTTGACTGATTTTCTTTGTGATGTTCTTTTGAGTTTCATTTGAGTTTCATTTGTTTTCAAATTATTTTTTTGATTTCTTTTAGTTCCTTTTGATTCCTTCTGATTTTCGTTTGGTTTCCATTTGAGTGCCATTTGATTTTCTTTTGTGGCCATTTGATTTTCTTTTGATTTTCTTTTGATTGCCTTTTGATCTTCTTCTGTTGTCCTTTTGCTTCCCGATTGGTTTCAAATTGATTTCCATCTGATCTTCATTGGATTCCATTTTGATTCCTTATGATTTTCCTTTGTTTTCCAATTGTTTTCTATTTGATTTTCTTTTGATTGCCATTTGATTGCCGTTTGATTTACATTTGTTTATCTTTTGCTTTACATTTAATTTACATTTGCTTTCATTTGTTATTCTTTTGATTTCCATTTGTTTTCCAATTGATTCCCATTTGATTTCCATTTGATTTCCCACTGATTTTCATTTGATTATCTTTTGCTTTCCATTTGCTTTCCATTTGATTTCCCATTGATTTCCATTTGATTATCTTTTGCTTTCCATTTGATTTCCATTTGATTTCCATTTGATTTCCATTTGATTTCCATTTGATTTCCATTTGATTTCCATTTGATTTCCATTTGAATTTCATTTGATCCCTTTTGATTTCCTTGGGGAGGTCGATGTTTCCTTTAAAGGTTTCTTTATTCTATCAAGTGTAACTTTTCGAGCACATCAATGATGTGTTCATGCTCAGTGGCTTGTTAAGTCCCGGCTGGCACAGAGGACATCAGACAATCTTCGGAACGCCTTGGTTCGTCGTGTCCATGCGTGCATTAGACGGCCATCACAAACAATCTCATCGACCTATAACTCACCAAGGCTTTCCGTGCCGATCCAGACATGCTTGCATGTCGTGGTACCATACATACTGCTGTAATAATTTGCGGCCGCGTGCACGATGGACCTAATGGCAAGCTTCTAGAAAACCTGATGTCAGAAGTATATGCTTCCCAAAGTCCTGGGTCATTTTTCAAGTCTGCTCTTTGCAAAGTGAGCTGGAACTACAGCTGTCTTGTTGATTGTCCCGTACATCTTGTTACAATCTTGTGGTGTTGGAATTGCTGTTATATGTGCTCGTTGAATTGACGACCTTACTGCAAAAGCCTTGGATGTATTTTTCCTGTTCGTTCTGCTCATGCCTCGTTCCAATTGAAGCTAAAAAAGGTTTTATACGTGTTTGTGACCACTAATATTGACGAAACGCATCGAAATACTGTGGAGAAGAACTTTCACCAACGTGATCATTTGCCGTGTTTCAGGAAATAGAGTTTAATCACAGTATACTTTCACCTTCACAAAATCACAAGAGATGGTAATCATTTCAACAGTCTTCAAAATCATAACGAATTCCTCGCGATTGAAAGCATCTTCGCATTCTCTTGCGGAGTAGTTTTTTGCCGATGATGAGTTTCTAAAGGTTCCATTCATCAAAAGTGGGGGATAATTCCCACGCATAGTGCAAAGCGATGCATCAGAACCTCGCTTGCTTCTACTGGATACTTTTTTACGTCTCAGCAAGAGCTCTCTTGCAAAGTATCCAGCAACTGTCTCTTTTCGACAGAAACACAAGACCGGCTTCATCTTTCTCTGTTCTCGGGAAGGTTCGCTTGTCAAATATATTTTCAGACGTACTTTTGTTCATTTTTGCTGTAACACTTGATACGGCAAGTTCTGTTATTAATGAGCATAACTTAATCGCCCTCATTGCTGGTTGACACATGATTCACCGGCCAAAACTCTCGTCTTTTTGCTACTATATTGTTTTCAAACTTGGTTGAAATATCAACAACCCCGATCTCTTGATTTCTCCTAAAGGAGACCATAATGAAATGTGGTGGTCTAAATCAGAGGTGACAAGGAATGGTGCTTAGGAGTAGCAAAAAGTCCGAACTTGTCTGAAAAGTTAAACCAGTTTAAAGTTACGGCTTCACATTTGCGAGAACCAGCAATATGCGACAAGTCGGAGGACGGAATTTCAGTTTGATTCAAGAGAACAACGGAATTTAGGTTCTATTTTAGAGCCTCAGAAAATTTTAGCCTGAACGTGATTTTGGTGATGGCAACTATGATTGTGATAACGGTGAAAAATGGGAAATATGCATCGACCTCTTCCGCAATGATAGTACTTGACTTGAAAAAACTCAAGGATTCGGCTATATGTTCTTTCTCCTCTAAGTGAGTATGAATAGCAATTGTAACACTTGCACACATACAAAGCAGACGAATGATTCTCAGTCAAAGAAATATTTGGGGAATGCGGTGAAACTTTTAGAAGATAAGCTCCCAACTTATGATCCCATGCAAAGCTCGGAAATGATATCGAGAAGCCCTCTTATATCATTCCACCCCAAATAGTGTCGCTCTCTAAAGGAGAAGCGTTGGGATGTACATCTGCCAGACTTGATGAGAATATCAAAGCTATGGTATATGTCGAAGATAAAAGATTTCACCTAGATACATAATCCAAACATCCCAGCCTATTTGCATGATCATTACTCAAGGAAGTTATGAGACTTTGATCAGCAACGAATGGTATAGGTGCGGCGCGATACGATGAATGCAGCTGCAAAAGCTAAAAAGATCTGTCTCATATTGGCAGCCTTGGAAAGACGTGTTGATACTCAAGCACCAGATAAATGAGACAGCATTAAAAGATAAAGGAGAGAGGATTGTTAAGATCTTTTTCAATGAAGTACATCCACGAATTCTCGCTATGTTTACTGATGTAGACGCTTTCGATCAAGTTGCATGCCCTAAGCTTTCCATTGATTGGGATACGCTTTTAAGAAACCAATACTGTCGTCGTATGGAGCAATGGTTATCACGGGAAATGACATGTAGTTGAAGGAGTACTACCCCATTGACTAGTATGAGAACGATTGGATTGGAATGGGGAAGTCCCTCTCTGCCATTCTTCAATCCATTAATAGATTCTTTTTGTCTTTCCTGCTAAAGTATTCTAAAAAAATTTATTCATAAATCTTTGGCGTGAGTCCTGAAAAATGAACCATGTTTTTCTGAATACAACTTTACCATTGATCTAGCTGTACAAATTATGATGGTCGTACTCATGACATTTGAAGTGAAAATCACTTCGGCTTTCAATATTTCAGGGCCTTTGTTCTATGGTAGGAACGGAATTTGCACTAGAAAAGGTTGTTTTTTATTTGCAGACCACTCAAAGGCGGGATAGCCGGTGAATATCAACACCACTTCTGTGAATAGCTTGTAAAGTCTTGAACATCATCTCGAAAATTCTTCAATTATTCATTTTATTCATCAACTTCGAGAAAAGAAAAGAAGACATCTCCGTAATTGATCCAGATATTTTTCTTCTCGTTGGGGGACGAACCTTATGTTAAATCAAAAGGACATGAGACGAATATACAATTTTACACTCGCGAGAGTAGTGGCATAAGATATAAAAGAGATTATAAACGAAATACGCTCCCAACTCATCTCAGAATACGTTTATGTTCGCCTAACTGTGACCGAAGGTTGCAAAAATCGCTTCTGCTCAAGTCTTCAAACCTTTGCTATGACTTTGCAAGTCAGAGCAGCCTTTGCAAGATATCCTTCTTCTGGGTACTCTGAGTAGTGAGTCGTATACCCACAGTCAAATGTAGCTCTACTTTTGAATTGGTATAAGGGGGCAGATAGAGCCTGTATCTACAGCTCATAGATCGCCTTGGAGAATGTTCTCTCATCCCGATATTTGAAAAGGCTCATCATGAAATTCAAAACCGCAATATATTGACTTGAAGCGTACCGTATCCCCAGCCAGAATTTGAAGAGCTGAAAACATTTGAGCAGTAAGTGTTCAGAATATGTGTCACTAGAAGTTGGAACATACTAGATCTGCTTCTTATGAAATTTGCGGAGTGGTGATAAAGCTGTCAAGATAACAAGGTGACATCGGCCTCTGCGGTGGCTTCCAAACTGTTGTGATCAGGTGGTCTATCTTGTGCCCGATAATCAAAAAAGCACATTCACTAGAATTTGATATTATTTCATGAACTATGTCAATTTTATGGACTGATCTTGATATATAGACACTGACTAGAAACAGTTTCTAATCTAATTTATGATACGAGGCGCACGTCATTTAAGTCTACCAGTATTGGTTACTGGACCCAGAACAGCACATACACGGATTGTGGAGGACAGGTTCTACATTTTCGAGCCAAAATAGTGTTTCGTGACCACGAAAAACACACCTCCAGTTGATTCCATAGATCGTACGCAAGCGCTCTGGGCTGATCAACTCATCATGACAGCGAGTTTCTTTGGATCATGGTGAACATTAAAATCCATGAAATGTCTCAAATCAAGTGTGCCACCTCGAGCGATGTTTGGTACAGATGGATGAGGAAAGGCTTATTCGGCAGTCATGGTTGTTACTGAGGGTAAAGAAGACGCTGGGAATGGATTAAAGATGGGAACAATCCGCCGTCCACAGATCCGAAACTAACCCGTCCCTACACATCGGTCGAACTCATTACACTGTGAGTGACAGAACATTTTACCAGCAGTGTTTACTATAAAATGCCTAGGATTGTTGCTGGAAGAATGGGCCCAGGGGCCCGGCCGGGCATGTTTGAGATGTTTTTGTCACTTTTGTAAATTAGTCCAACAATCTCTAAATAAACGTTATTAAGATAAGAAGGAGAGTTGGAATGAAAAATCAGAAAGAGCATCAAATAAGACTTGTTGGAATCACTTTGACTGAGTATAAAAAGAGCACTAATATATACTATAATAATGATATTATATAAAAAAGTTCTAACTAAAACATGTGCCAGCAGCTACGGTTATACATGGAGAGCAAGCATTGGTCAAAATGGCCTAAAGTATCTGTGGTACGTCTTATACAAAATTGAATAAAAAAACCGTAATAAGAATTAAAATATAAGGAATGAAATATGTTGAAAATTTTAAGACTGTAAAGAGAGTACTACATATTATTGACGTTGTGAGATGAAGTAGCGACATGAACTCGATACCTATTTAGTCGTAGCAGAAAATTATGAATGAAAAAAATGAAAACTACAAATGAAAAATATTCCGCCTGATTATCATGCTCGCAAGGGTGAAATACAAGACATTAGACGGCTGTAGTCCCAAGCAGTGAAACATGTCATTTAATTGGATAATCCGCCACAAATCTTACCAT